AAGTAGAGGACAGTTTGTGGTTTCCCAGGGCTGAGGATGGGATGGGGGCTGCAGCCAGGAGGGTAGGAAGGCTACACGAGGGATGCTCAGACAAGTGTTCTCTACCATGGCAGTGTAATTATTGTACTGTTGTCCTGGTTGTGTCTTTGTGCTGTAGTTATGTAAGTATTACCATAGGGAAAATTGGGACAGGTATGTATATGGAGCTTCTCTCTTTCTTTTTAAAGATTTATTATTTTTATTGGAAAGTCAGATTTACAGAGAGAAGGAGAGACAAAGATCTTCCATTCACTGGTTCACTCCCCAAGTGGCAGCAACAGCCAGAGCTAAGCCGATCCAAAGCTGGGAGCCAGGAACTTCTTCCTGCTCTCTCACATTAGGTGTAGGGTCCCAAGGCTTTGGGCTTTCCTCCACTGCTTTGCCATATCACAAGCAGGGAGCTGAAAGGGAAGTGGAGCAGTTGGGATTAGAACCAGTGCCCATATGGGATCCTGTTGGAAAATTTTCACTTTTATAATATAAGATCTTCCTGTAAATGTTCATCTTATGTATCTGCTTGTATTTAGTTCTTACATGTATTTCAGTGAAGTTTTATAACCTCTTTCATAAACATATATCTTTTAGTATACTTAGGAAGTTATAAATACTATTATTATTACCACAAAATTGCATCTTATGCTTTTATTTTCTAATATGTACTTTTTTAATGTAGAGAGAAGTAAAGCTATTTTTTAATATTAATCTTCATACTCCCAGTTTTCTTACATTTAGTTGTTCCTTTTTTTTTTAAAGATTTATTTATTTTTATTGGGAAAGCAGGCTTACAGAGAGAAGGAGAGAAAGAAAGAAAGATCTTCCATTCACTGGTTCACTCCTCAAATGACCACAATACCAAAGCTGAGCTGATCTGAAGCCAGGAATCAGGAGCTTCTTCTGGGTCTCTGACATGAGTGCAGGGAGCCAAGGTGCTGGGTCATCCTCCACTGCTTTTCTATCCACAAGCAGGGAGCTGGATGGGAAATGAAGCATCCAGGACATGAATCGGTGCTCATGTCAGTACTTTAAGGTGGAGGATTAGGTATTTGGGCCAGTGCTGCATCCCCACATTTATTTTTTTAAAGATTGTTTTATTCATTTGAAAGGCAGAGAGATTGGTGGGTGTCGAGGGAAACAGAGAAGAGATATTTTCACTGCCTGCAATAACTGGAGTTGGTTAAGTGGAAGTCGGGAGCCAGGAACTTCATTCTGGGTCTGCCATGTGAGTGGCAGGAATCCAAGTACTTTGTGCCATTATTTGCTGCTTTCACAGGTGCACAATAGGAAGCTGAATCAAAAACATAGAAGCCAGGACTCAAATCAGTGCTCCAATATGGGATGGCAATGATCCAAGTTGTGATTTAACTCACTGTACCTCAAGTCCTGCCCCTGATTTTTAACTTTTATCAAAGCATAAAATTTCAAAAATATGGTTATTTGTGTGTTTGTTATGAAAAGTCAAGATGAATAGACTACAATATATTTTTTATGAGAAACAACTTGTTCCACCCTTCCTTCCTGTTCCAGCCAGCACCGGACCATTTCTTTTGTCTTTTTTAACCTAACTGCTTGAGCATTTCCCTTGGTGTCTTTGAGTAGGGAAGTCCAAGCTTTCTCTCTGAAGGTCTGATATTTGAGCTGATGTAAACTGGCAGGAGGCAGTTGAAGAGGAGGAAAGCCCTAACATGGACCATAGTTCTGTGTGATTGAGCTGAAGACCCGGGATGAATAGCCACCCTCATTGATAGGCTTGCTGGAGCATGGGCAGCCGTGTAGAAATGGGAGTGGATAAAAGGATATGAGCTAATGAAACTGAATGGAGTGGGACATCCTGCAACAGCTGTCGTCCAGGTGTGAGGATACAGGATCCTTTTGCTGGAATGACCTACAATCAGAGAAAGTCCTAGGTCAGAGATTTTTTTTTTTAATAGTGAACTATCCAAGGAAGTCTATTGTTGCGATTTTATGAGTGGCTTTGAGCTTTTTCTGTGACCTATTTTGAGAAAGAAGGGTGGTCCCTGTGGTTTGCCTCTGGGGAGAATGTGAGGTGTGAGCAGGAGGGCTGAAGTTGGGGAGCTTTGCTTCTGCGGCTGTTTCTGAGGCCTTATGTTTTGGATGTCATTTTCTGGGCCCAACACCTACATGCGCTGCTGCTTCTCTTAGGCATTGGACTTTGACTCCCTACTGTGGACTACAAGTTTTTAACATTTTTTTTTAAACTCCACCATATTTGCCCACTCTTCTCATCTCCCTGGCCTTTTAGTCTGTTGTCCCTAATGCTAATTAGATCATGTGCCTTAGTGTATGAATGAATTCTGTTTATAATGAACCATGTAATAACATATGAACAGTTCATCTGCAGAGATTTTTGTTATATAAGTTACTTATTGGTTTTTTGGTTACTTATTGTTTTATTATTATTTTTTAAGTTCTAACATTTATCTCTGTAATTATCCCTAACTAGACACTAGAGTCTGTACTAAGTAGATATGCTCCCAAGATATTCTAGAACCTTCTGGAGTTCTCCCATCCAGAGTGCCCTCTATCTATAATCAACCCTAGAATTTATCTTCATCTATCCTAAGAGATCCTTGGGTCCCTCTCCAGCGTTCAGTCACCAGTTTCCTACAGCTTTGTCTATTTTTTTTATTTTGTTTTGATGTAGGATTGTTTCTGGTAGTTCCCTGGTAATAAAAGTGTAGGAGGTAAATTCTCTGTACCTTCAGAGTTCTACAATTTTTCCTCTGCGTGTTAAGAAGTGGAATTTGTTTTAACCTATTATGTGTGGGATTTGCCTTTCCTGTATCTCAGTATTCATCTTTTATAAATTCTATACAATTCTTTATCTTGTATATCCAAATTTAGCCTCTCCTATTCTGTTCTTGCCTTTTAAATCTCATGTTTGTTGCACTGGCCTCCTTTTGTCTTTTTTATTTTTTATAAACTTAGCTTTTAGCTCCATTTTTTCAAAGATTCTTTTGTTGTTTGTTTGTTTGTTTGTTTCTTTATTTAAATTGGAAAGGCATATTGACAGAGAAGGAGAGACAGAGAGAAAGATTTTCCATCCACTGGTTCACTCCCCAAATAACCACAACAGCCAAAGCTGAGCTGATCTGAAACCAGCAGCCTGGAACTTCTTCTGAGTCTCTATGTGGGTGCAGGGGTTCAAGGATTTAGGCCATCCTCCACTGCTTTTGTAGGTCATTAGCAGAGAGCTAGATTGAAAGTAGTACAGCTGCAACTTGAACTGATACCAATAAAGGATGCAAGAAGAGCATTAACCTGATAAACAATAATGTTCGCCCCATTGGCCTTCTTTTGATATCTGTGTCTCTTAATTTTTTTGGCCATATTTTCCATGCTGTTCTCTCTCTGTTGAGCAGTTTGAATAATTTTTCCTTATAGTACCTTTCCTAACTTTTCCAATATAGTACCTTCATTTCAATTTTTCAAATTCTTTATAAAGATTTTAAAAATGTTTTTGAAAGGCAGTGTTACAGAGAGAGGAGAGATACAGAGATTTTCCATCTGCTGGTTCCTTCTTAAGTGGCCATGATATCTAGGGCTAGCCTGAGGCCAGGAGCTTCTTCCAGGTCTCCCGTGTGGTACATGGGACCAAAGACTTGATCTGTCTTTCATTGTTTTCCCAGTTGCATTAGCAAGGAGTTGGAGCAGTAGTGATGCATCAGAGACTCAAACCTAAAGCCTCCTGTGTCACCTAAAACTGGTCCAATAAATTTGTTATGCTAGACTCAGCTGTGACTCCTTTTGATGGGCAGGAAAAGGATCACGCTCCCTGTACCTGTTGTCAGGAATTTTCAGAGGAGATTTTTTTCCCCCTTACCTGTGACCCAAACCAAGATGGGAAGGTACTTTTTGTTGTTTTCTGTAACACAATTCATTGAAATCCTCCGGAGTCCCCATTTGATGAAGGAAGTTGCCTTGTACTCCTGCCTGGCACTAGTTCCCAAGTCTCTGGGTCAGAGATGGACAGTGCCCCTGCCCCTCATCCTTTGGGCTACAGCTGCATCTACCTCAGGTGCTTGCTGCTCTGCTTCAGTGTCCTCTGGCTGGGAGCTCTGTGATTTCCTGTCCTCCCTGTAAACTCCCTTTGTATGCTCTCCCACAGAGTTGCAAGGAAATGTGTTCTGGCTGATCTAGCATTTCTAAGTGCTCTTTTTTCAGGCCACCTGGTCCACGATATTTCCCTTTATATTCCTTACATTACAGATGAAAAGTTGTGGGAGTTTCAGTGAAGAAAAGTACAGGGTGATCCAGGAAGACCAGGAGTGGCTTTAGTGAAGGTTAATGTTGGAGGACAGAAGCGTGGGGAAGGGCCCAGCAGGTGCAGGGGCACAGAGCCAGGAAATGGTTCTGCAAGTGGAGAGAAAAGCCTTTTACTCTATTTTGCTGGAGGAGAAAGCCAGGTTGGAGCCAGACCATACATCAGCAGGGAGCAATTTAAAATCTTCCAGCAGAGAACACCACGATCACAAGCTTGATTTTCCCTTGGAAACATGTTACAGTTGAATGTGTGTGGGCGGCAGAGGCAGACTGGGGATTGAATTTGAAGGAATGATCCCAGAGGCTATGGAAATAGCACAGGTTATTGCTAGTAGGACTGATAGGGGTGGTGGCAGGAAAGGAGAGAAGGGATTCCATCCCATGGGAAGAGAGGATGAGAAACTGAACCAGATAAAGAAATCTAGGTCACGAGCTAGGGAAACACTGGAAGAAAAGCCAAGCAAGCACACTGCCTGAATCCTGGGAAATGGATTTAAATGTCAACAATCATCTGAGCTGTTGTTGCCTTTACAATTGTCCAAGCACTGCCCACAAGTGCTCACACACGGTTCAGCTGTTGCTGCTGCTGATTTCTTTAGGCCTTTTGGTGAATTGTTGTCTTTAAATCAGAAGCAGTGTTGCTCAGCAGAAATGACTTGGATGGTTTTTGCTCTTCCCAGAACCTGCAGACATGGCCGATCACGGGGCAGATGAGCCGTCCTCTGGGTCAGGGAGTCCAGATGGGGAGGGTCCAGATTCTGAGGACAGATCGTCGCTGCAGCAGAGGCTGGCCATCAGGGAGCTCATCGACACCGAGGTCTCCTACTTACACATGCTCCGACTCTGCGCCTCCGACATCAAGAGCCGGCTCCAGCAGGTACATACATGGGGCCCCACACAGCTGTTCTCATAAGGGGCAAAGGTGGCTCTTAGTTCCTAGATCTCACATGCTTTGCTGGGGCAGGTTGGATGAAAAGAAAGAGTGGTAAGTGTGAGATTGGACAGATTGGACATTAAGTCCCAGTACACATTTTAATGGCTGTGCCACCTTGAGCAAAGCCTTCAATGGCTCAGTGTCTTAATGTATTCATCTGCTAAATGGGAGAGAAATGATCAACTCTCCCATTTAGGGAATTAAGTGAGCTAATGAGAAAGCTTTTCCATGTCTAGTATTGACCTGCATACTGGTTGTGATGTTTGCAGGGGGTGGTGACATGGACAAATGATTACTGCAATGGGTTTCAATTATATTAGTCATTAAAACAGGTAACCTAGCAGCTAAAGTCCTTGCCTTGAATGCACCAGGATCCCATATGGGCACAGGTTCTAATCCTGGCAGTCCTGCTTCCCATCCAGCTCACTGCTTGTGGGCAGGGAAAGCAGTCGAGGACGGCCCAAAGCCTTGGGACCCTGCACCCGCGTGGGAGACCTGAAAGAGGCTCCAGCCTCCTAGCTTCGGATTGGCTCAGCTCCAGCTGTTGCGGCTGCTTGGGGAGTGAATCAGTGGACTGAAGATCTTCCTCTCTGTCTGTCCTCCTTTTTGTATATCTGACTTTGCAAAAATAATGTTTTTTTAAACTTAAAAAAAAACAATATAAAAATTATTTGAGCGGAGAGAGGAGAAAGAGAGAGAAAGTGAGCTTCCCTTCTTGGCTCACTGCCCAAATGGCTGCAGTGGCTGGGGCCAGCTCAGCTGGTCCAGGCTCAAGCTGTGAGCCAGTACTCAGTCCTGGTCTTGCATGTGAATGGGAGGAACCTAATGACTTGAATCATCACCACTGCTTCCAAGGGTCTATTAGCAAGAAACTGGAGCAGGAACCTAAGGTAGGAGTTAAATCCAGGTGCTTCCATATGGAGTGTAGACCTTTCAACCAGCAACTTAAGCACTAGATGAAATGCCTGTCCTGGGGTTCATTTTTCACATTTTTATTTTTCTTACTTTCCTGTATAAGAGGATCTGGGATCAAGTCCCACTTCTGCTTTCTATCCGGCTTCTTGCTAATGTACCTAGGAAGGTAGCAGATGATGGCTCAAGTACTTGGGTCCCTGCTACCTACATGGAAGATCTACATGGCTCTTGATTTGGCTTGATATATTCCAGCACCAGATGTTGTAGGCATTTGGGGAGTGAATCAACAGATGACATATTCTCTCTGTTTCTCTCATTGCTTTTCAAACATATATGCTTTTTAAAAGATTTATTTATTTTTGTTTGAAAGGCAGATTTTTATTTAAAATTTTTTTTTAAGATTTATTTTTATTACAAAATCAGATATATAGAGAGGAGGAGAGACAGAGAAGAAGATCTTCCATCTGATGATTCCCTCCCCAGGTGAGCGCAATGGCTGAAGCTGTGCCAATCCGAAGCCAGGAGCCAGGGACTTCCTCCAGGTATCCCACATGGGTGCGGTATGCATTGGGCCATCCTGGACTGCTTTCCCAGGCCACAAGCAAGGAGCTGGATGGGAAGTGGAGCTGCCGGGATTAGAACCAGTGCCCATATGGGATCCCGGCACGTTCAAGGCGAGGACTTTAGCCACTAGACCACGCCGCTGGGCCCTATTTTTAAAATTTTTAATTTTAATTTTTTTTCAGAGACAGAAGGAAATACAAATAAAGAGGTCTTCCATCTGCTAGTTTACTCTCCAGATGCCTGCAACAGCTGGGACTGAGCCGATCCAAAACCAGAAATTTTGGAGCTCCCTCTGGGTCTCTCATACGGGTGCAGGTGCCTAAGTGTTTGGGTCATCCTCCACAGCTATCCCAGGCCATAAGGAGGAAACTGGATTGCAAGTGGAGCAGCTGGGGCTGAACTGGTACCCACATGTGATGCTGGTGCTGCAGGTGGTTAGCCTGCCATGCCAGTGTGCCAGCCCAAATAACTAAACTTTTAAAAAGTAAATAATACAGGACCTGACCCGATGATTCAGTTGGCTAATCCTCCACCTGTGCGAGTGCCGGGATCCCATATGATTTGTTTCCTGGATGCTCCACTTCTCATCCAGCTTCTTGCTTGTGGCCCGAGAGAGCAATAGAAGATAGCCCAAAGCCTTGGACCCTGAACCCACATGGGAGACCAGGAAGAAACTTCCGACTCCTGGCTTTGAATCAGCTCAGTTCCAGCAGTGTGGCCACTTAGGGAGTGAACCAGCAGATGGAAGGTCTTTATCTCCTCTTCTCTGTAAATATGATCTGCCTTTCCAGTAAAATAAATAAGATCTTTTAAAAAGAAAAAAAAAAGAAAGAAAATCTAGATGTTTTACTTCAGGGAGTATTTCCACTTAATTGTGTACTTAGCACATCCTCCATGCTCATGCATGTGTGTATTTATGTACACACACACATATGAACTTTCTGCATCATGCTTTTAACAGTGACATTTCTGGAGCTTTGCATGCACCTGAGATGATTAATAGTGATGAGCCCTGTGTGTGTCAGAGCTGGAAAGGAGCCTAAATTCCCATACTCATGTGACAAAAGGGGAGGCAGAGGAAAGAAAAATGACAGTTGGCAGTAGACCTTGGGTAAAACTCCAGTTACCCCACCTCCCTCACTCCCTAAGTGCTCCAGCTCTTCCCTTTGTTTTATAGAGTAATGAAAGTGCTTAATTTATAACATTTCAAACTGCTTGCAAAGATTCCCCTGGGGCAATCAATCCTCAGAGTGATGGGACCCCAGTGGAGAGAATGTTCCATACTATGTTCCAAAGCTTGCAAATGCAGTCACGGCAGGGAATGCCTAGCCCCTCCCCTGGCTTCTTTGTCCCTTCCAGCTGCCGCAGGGAGACCTGGATGTGCTGTTCTCAAATATGGATGATATCATCAAGGTGAACGGCAGATTTCTTCACCATCTGCAGGAGTCGGCTTCTGAGGAAGAACAAGTGCATCTAATAGGTAAGTCAGTGACCAAGGGACTGTCTGAGGTGCTCAGCATGTGATCAGCACTGAAATACCCAGTGACATGGAACATGCAGCTAAACGAGGGTCTACCCAGGAGTCCCTGAAACACAATTGTTGGGAGCCAGCAGGGCCCTAAATGATGTTGAGTTCAATCTGGGACTCTGACCCAGAGACAGAGGAAGAACTACAGGATTTCTTGATTGGCACAGCTGCTGTATGGATGCCTTTCATGCTCATTCATTCCATGGTGCCTTACCTGCAGTTTTTTGTGCCATCACTATCCTATGTGCTGTGGTTATGAACACCATGAGATAAGGCAGATAAACCAGTGGAGAAGAGAACTTGAAGGAAATAAAACTTACTGGATGTGAGGGATTGCTTCCCAAGGAGAGAACATTTGAAGTGAGAGCTGAAAGTTAGGAAGGGACCTTCCATTAGAAAACCTGGAGGAATAGGAGGGGGAATCGCTGAGCAAAGGCCCTGATGCAGGGATAAGCTTGGAATGGTTGAAGGGCTCCAGGGGAATTAGTGAGGGGAGATTGTTAGGGGATAAGATAGAGACAACCAGAAAGTACCAGGTCCTGCCCAGCTCTATAGGCCAAATACATTGAGAAGCTATGGGACGGTTTTGAGCAGAGAAGAAACACAGTCTGCCTTATGGTTTTTGGAGCTCTTCTGTAAAGTGAGAAGGTGGTTAAGTTGGGAGCTTCCCAATGGCCCTGTTGAGAGATGAGGATAGTCTCTGAATTCTGGAATTGTTATGGTCACCAGAGAAGAAAGAGAGGAGGAGAGGGTATGAGTCTCATACTCGTCTTCCTTTTACTGCCAGAATGTCCATGGTCAGCAGCTTCCTAGTGGAGGTGGGAAAGAGGGTGAATTGGCACCAGATTTTGTCAAAATACAGAGAAGAGGAGCAGGTGAAAGAGCTCAGTTCTATGGTAGCCAAGTCACCTGGCTTCCACACCACCAATCTTTCCTGGACAAAGATGTTGGTAATGGGATTACCAAACAAACGTGCCAACACACTTAGAAGACCAATTTCTGAATGTTTACTGACTGCTCGGTGCCACACTGATGAATGGTAACTCATCTAATCTCACCCACAAGTCAATCCTCATTGTTGTCATCCTGATGCCAGTTTGAGGGAGCTGAGGCACAGAGGGAGAAAGTCACCTGTGGAAGGTCACACAGCTTGTGGCAGAGCCAGGAGTTGAGGGCAGGCTGTGGGGCCTCCAGGAGCCAGGATTCTTGGCCAGGGCACCGAGGCACTTCCATGGAGTATCAGATGCAATGGAAGCTGCGGTTACTAAAGAAGCAATAGGAGTGAGTTATTTTTGCTGATGAATGATAGCTGAGTACAAAATTAAAGAACAGATATTGGTGCCGTGGTGTGCGGTACAAGTTAATTCTTTGCCTGTAGTGCCGGCATCCCATATGGGTGTGGGTTCATATCCTGGCTGCTTGTTTTGAACCAGCTCTCTGCTGCAGAAGATGGCTCAACACCTTGTACCCTTGCACCAGTGTGAAAAACCCTGAAGAAGCTCCTGCCTTCTGTCTGACCCAGTTCTGGCCGTTACACCCACTTGAGGAATGAACCAGCAGATGGAAGATCTCACTCTCTGTCTCTCCTTTATTCCTGTAAAATCAACCTTTCAAATAAAAATAAACCTTTACAAACAAAAACCAAATTTAAAAAACAAGAGGCCCACATTGTGGTTCACTGGGTGACATTGCTGCCTCTAATGACAGCATCTGGCATCCCATAGGAAGGCTGGTTCGAGTCTGGCTACTCCATTTCAAGTCAGCTCTCTTCTCATGCACCTAGTAACGCAGCAGAAGGTGGCTCAAGTAGTTGGACCTCTGCCACTCGTGCGGGAGATCCAGATGGAGTCCTAGATTCCTGGCTGTGGCCTGACCTTCCCCTAGCTTTTGTGGTCATTTGGAGAGTGAGTCAGCAGGTAGAAGATTACTCTCGCTTTCTCTCCCTCCCTCTCTCTGTCATTACTCTGTCTTTGATGTTCTGCTTCTCAAATCAATCAATAAATTTTTTTAAAAAAATTAAAGAACAAAGGCCCGATATAATGGCTCAATGGTTAAACCTTCACGCCAGGATCCCATATAGGTGCCAGTTTGTGTCCTGGCTGCTCTGCTTCTCTTCCAGCTCCTGCTTGTAGAAAAGCAGTAGAGGATGTCCCAAGGCCTTGGAACCCTGTATCTTCATGTGAGACTTGGGAAAAACTCCTGGCTTCTGGGATCAGATAAGCTCTTCCTATTGTGGCCATTTGGGGAGCAAACCAGTAGATGGAAGCTCTTTCTCTGTGTTTCTCCTTCTCTCCATAAATCTGATCTGTTTTTCAAATAAAAATAAATAAATCTTTTTTAAAAAGTAAAGAACCAAGATTTAAGTGCTTGTAGCTATTCCTACCTTTGATTGGTTTGTTTCTGTTAATGATTATCAGCTATTTGAGTGAAACTGATATAGCTCCAGGGCTGAAGACGAAGGGTTTGGGACCCAAGATTGGGCTTCTGTTGCTGTGTTGTTTTTTTGTGTGTGTGTGTCAAGGTCCTTACTTTGTCAATTCCTGCCTTCCTCCCAGACCCACAGTCTGGGTGCAGCATTGTGAGCACTCCCGTTAACATCTCTGTTAGCTGCCCTTGGTGCTACTGCAGTTTGGTTTCCTGCTAGAAGCAGAGTAATCTACATCTGCATTCCAAATAAACCCCGAGCAAGTTTTTAAAGTACAAATATGTTGTCACTGTTACAGTAGATGTACTTGTGCTAAGAATGAGTTTGTGTTTCTCAGCAATCCAAATTTCACTTCCCATCCTCTAAGCTGGTGATCCTGTGCCTTGGTCTTTATGCAGTCTTCAGAAAATGCCCTCTTATCTCAGTGCATTTTGTGCTGCCAGGATTGGGTAGCTGAGACTGGGCCATTTATAAAGAGTAGTGATGCATTTCGTACCACTCTGGAGTATGGGAGTCCCAAGGCAAGAAGCCTCCTGCATCTGGCAAGGGCCCTCTTGCCGGGCTATAACACAGCCTAAGGCATCATCCAGTAACACAGCAAGAGAGGACTGAATTTATTTTTGTTTTATTCTTTAACAATGCATTTATATATCAAGTGACAGAGACAGGAGACATGCAGAAAGAGAGAAAGACAGATATATGGATTTTCAACCTACAGGTACACTTCCCAGATGGCTGCAATTGCCAGGGGTGGGCCAGGAGGATGCCAGGAGCCAGGAACTCCTTGATGTTTTTTCCAATTTGTGCCAAGGCAGAAACACTTAGGCTGCTTTCTGTTACCTACCCAGGTACACTATCTGGGAGCTGAGTAGCCAGAACTCAAACCAGTGCTCTGATAGAAGATGCTGACATTGTAAGTAGTGGCTTAACCCACTGTGCCACATTAGCAGGGCCCTGGTTTTCTTTTATAGCAAACTCAGTCTTACAATAATGAATCCATTATGATGATAATGACATCTAAAGAACCTGTTTCTCAGCTCTGTTACTGGGAATCAGATTTCCAACACAAGAACTTTTGAGGAGTGCATTAAGTTGCAGCATGTCTTCACCCTTTGTACCTTGCGGTTAGCTGAAAACACACAGAGAACGCATGTGGCTTGGCTTGGTTTCTTTCTTTTAAAAAAATATTTGTTATTTGAAAGGCAGAGTTACAGAGAGATTTTACATTGACTGGTTTACTGCCCAAATGGCACAGTGGCTGGAAAAGGGCCAAGCTGCAGCCAGGAACCTGAGTGGCAGGGGCCCAAGTACTTAGACTAGTTCTTCTTCTTCTTCTTCTCTCTGATTTATTTATTTTTTTATTGGAAAGGCAGATTAACAGAGAGAAACACAGACAGAGAGAAAGATCTTCCATCCACTGGTTTATTTCCCAAATGACTACAATGGCTGGAGCTGAACTGGTCCAAAATCAGGAGTCAAGAGCCAGGAGCTTCTTCCAGGTCTCCGATTCGGGTACAGGGCTCCAAGGCTTTGGGCTGTCCTCATCTGCTCTCTCATGCCATAAGATGGGAGCTGGATGGGAACTGAAGCAGCTGGGACATGAACCAGCATCCATATGGGATGTAGTGCTTTGAGGAGGATGATTAGGCAATTGAGCCAACACACCAGCCCTAGACTAGTTCTTTAGCTTAGTTTTGGTTCAGGGTTTTTTTTTTTTTTTTAAAGATTTATTTTTATTATTTTTCTATTGGAAAGGCGGATATACAGAGAGGAGAGACAGAGAGGAAGATCTTCCGTCCGATGATTCACTCCCCAAGTGAGTGCAACGGGCCGATACTATGCCGATCCGAAGCCAGGAGCCTCTTCCGGGTCTCCCGCGCGGGTGCAGGGTCCCAAAGCTTTGGGCCGTCCTCGACTGCCTTCCCGGGCCACGGGCAGGGAGCTGGAAGGGAAGCAGGGCTGCCGGGATTAGAACCGGCGCCCATATGGGATCCCGGGCGTGCAAGGTGAGGACCTTTTTAACCACTTGCGCCACCACGCCGGGCCCTTGGTTCAGGGTTTTTATTACCAACTGACATGTTATCACTCCAGATTGTTACTTAGTATCCATGGAGATTGACCCCCTTGAATACCAAAGTCTACAGATGCTCAAATCTGATATATTAAATAGTGTAGTATTTGCATTTGGCTTATTTAATTTTCCATTTTTTTTTCTTTTTTTGCTTTTTTGGTTGTTTGAAACACAGTGACAGAGAGAAAGGGAAGAGGCAGGGAGAAAGAGAGCCTTCATCTACTTGTTCATTCTCCAAATGATCATAACAGCTTGGGCTGAGGCAGGCTGAAACCAGGAACAAGGAGCTCCGTCTGGGTCTCCCACATGGTTATCAGGAAGCCAAACTCATGGATCATCATCCACTGGCTCCTAGGATGTGTGTTAACATGCAACTGGATTGGATCATTGTGACTATAGATATGATCTATTAAGTACAGGTTGAGATTTCTAATGCAAAAATCCAAAACCCCAAATCCCAAACATTTTATATGTCAACAGTGATGCCACATGTGGAAAAGTCTCTCACCTGACCTTGAGTGCAATGGCAGTTGAAATGCAGCCACACAAATGTTCTTTTATAAAAGAACATTATATGTGTAAGGCTACATGTGTAAGGTGCATATGAGACATAAAGGAACTTCAGATGTTTGCTTGGGTTTCCTCTGCACAATGTCTCATTGTGGATATACAAGTATCTCCCAACCCAGAAAGTCTGAAACACTTTTGATCCCAAGCATTTTGGGAACTCATAGCGTACGAGCCTGTGATTTACACCATTCTATTCCTAATCCTCACAGCAAGAAAAGACGGACACCTGGGAAGATGGTGCTTTTGCTGTGGTGATGCATTGGATAACTCAGCAGTCTCATGTGGAGTCAGAGCTGAGTGGTTCACTTGCTACCTCCCCATTCCAAGCCAGAGAATGTGTAGACATGCCCTTGATTATGCCTTGTTGCTTGTTCATCATCAGGGAACTTGTTCCTGGACTTCCAAGAGGAGTTCGAGCAAGTCTACAAGGTCTACTGTGTCAGCTATGACCAGGCCTTGCTGCTGGTGGAGACGTACCAGAAAGAGCCAGAGTTGCAACGGGAAATCCAGAGCATCGTTGAGGCAGTGGTGTGAGTACAATGGCCTAGGAGCACTTGCTTCTGCTCCTTTGACCCCAGGGCTTGGGGAAAGTCTCGGCCCCTGTGCAGTGCCACTCACACTATGTCAGGTGTGTATCAGTATCATCGCTTGTATCAGAATAGGCAGGGCTCTGCTGCAGACACAGACATCTCCCAAATCCCAGTGGCTTCTTTGGGCACCACTGAGGGTTGGCTTAGGGCTCTTCTCTTCATCATCCTCATCCCAGGGTATTGTCAGGAATTGTGGTAAAGGAAAAAGATCTCCCAAGGAAGCTCTTGGGGATTTAGTACTGCTAATAAATGCTCTAGCCCAGACATGGTCCCCACTGCTTCTTTTTTTTTTTTTAAAGATTTATTTTATTTTTATTGGAAAGGCAGATATACAGAGAGGAGAGACAGAAGAAGATCTTCCGTCCGATGATTCACTCCCCAAGTGAGTGCAACGGCCGATGGATGCTATGCCGGTCCGAAGCCAGAAGCCTCTCCCGGGTCTCCCACATGGGTACAGGGTCCCAAAGCTTTGGGCCGTCCTTGATTGCCTTCCCGGGCCACAGGCAGGGAGCTGGATGGGAAGCGGGGCTGCCAGGATTAGAACCAGTGCCCATATGGGATCCCGGGTGTGCAAGGCAAGGACTTAACCACTTGCGCCATCGCGTCGGGCCCCCCACTGCTTCTTGTGTTGCTTTAGCCAGGACCAATCCCAGCTTCATCCCTCTGTTGTTTGGTGAACAGTGCTCATGACCACTGCAGGCAAGGGCAATAAGAGGACAGGAACCATGTGTTGTAAACAACAGTGGCAGCAAGCAAATGTAATGTTTGCATATAACTTATACACTTCCTCCTCTACATTTTTAAATTTATTTTTAAAGATTTGTTCATTTGGGGCCCGGCGCGGTGGCGCAAGTGGTTAAGTCCTCGCCTTGCACGCCCGGGATCCCATATGGGCGCCGGTTCTAATCCCGGCAGCCCCACTTCCCTTCCAGCTCCCTGCCTGTGGCCTGGGAAAGCAGCTGAGGACGGCCCAAAGCTTTGGGACCCTGCACCCACGTGGGAGACCCGAAAGAGGCTCCTGGCTTCGGATCGGCATAGTATCGGCCCGTTGCGGCTCACTTGGGGAGTGAATCATCGGACGGAAGATCTTCCTCTCTGTATCTCCTCTCTGTATATCCGCCTTTCCAATAAAAAATAATAAAAATAAATCTTTAAAAAAAAAAAAGATTTGTTCATTTGAAAGGCAGAGTTACAGAGTGGGGCAGTAGTGGGAGACAGAGAGAGATCTTCCGTTTACTGGTTCATTTCCCAAAGGATCGGGCCAGGCCAAGGCAGGAGCCTGAAACTCCATGGGCGTCTCCTGCTTAGGTGGCAGGGGCCCAAGAACTTGGACCGTCATCCACTGCTTTCCTAGGGGTTCTAGATCAGAAGTGAAGTAGTTCAGACTCTTAATCTGTGCTCTTATGGCATGCAAGTGTTACTATTGGCTTAACCTGTTCTACCACGATGCCAAGCCATACTCTATGTTTCAGATCATCTCCAGATTGCTTAAAATGCTTAATAAAGTCTTAATACCAAGTAGTTATACTGTATAGTTTAGGAAATAATTTTGAAGGGGATAACTCACATTTTGCTCTTTGGAGCTTTCTGAAATTTTGTTCCCAAGTATTTTTGATCAGTTGTGGGCTTGAGTTTGTGGTTCAAGAACCTGCAGATATGGAGGCCTGACTATAAACGTGCATACATATATACATACTCAAACATATTTACATACATGTATATATCTTAGATGTGTTTCTTTGTCAACATAAGACATTCATGACTCTTGACCTGATTGTATTATCTTCCCACCAGCTGTCTGGGCCACAGTTTATTTATTTATTTTAAAATTTTTGTTTCCTTTTTAATATTGTTTACATAATTGAGAGGAATGCATGCCCATGTAGGTCTCCAATTAGGGTGGGGAAGGTCAGGTATGTAGGCTGGTGGGTGAGGCATATGTTGCAGTTTGCTTTTTCTCCTGTACCTTCATGGAAGGAGGAGGGAGAGGGCTGCTGACTGATAATTGCTGTCAAACTGTATCAGCACCCAGGTATGGAGGACAGTTCTTTGATGACACATCAGACACCCCAATGTAGGGAAGAATGTTCTGAGGATATTGATACTTTGGTGATATTCATAGTTCTGAGATGTCATCAGCTTTGTTGCAGCAAGGTTGAGAAAATCTTTCCAAGGGCTGTTGTTGACAAAAGTTCACCTTAGTGCATCCACAGACCCAGGAACATGCTGCAGAACTTGGCCCAAAGACTTGTTCAACTTATTCTGCTTTCCATCCTCTGACAAGGCAGTAGACATCTCCTGCTGGTCTACATGAGCTGGCTGTCATGTGCCCCATGTGCATCTGGGCATTACTGTCCACTGCACAGAATCAGCAACTAAGGAGGCCCAGTCCTGATATATGCACTCCAAGGTTGGACCACGCATCATGTGATTTTCCCTGTGGCTGGGGTCTGAGTCCAGCAGTCTAGTTGGAGAATCCCCAAGAAATCGTACTAGGGTGATCCCCAACTTGACTCTTGTGTGTGCCAGTTAGTGCAGGGTCAGGTGCGTTCTGTCACCTGCACCATGAGCCACAGTGTATTAAACTGACCTTTGTTGTTAGAATTTGGTTTGCTTCTTCTTTTTCTAACAATACAGATAGTGCCATTAATGATTATTCATGAAACATGTCAGTTACTTGGGTATATGTCAGATGAAAGTCTGCATGCAAGTTAAATGGCCAGAAGCATTGGTAATTTGGATACCTTATAAAATTCCCTCTATAAAATCTCAGTGAATACATATTGTCATTAGCAGCATGGCAAGGTGACTGGTCCCCACTGGTTCTGCAACAGCATTCTCCTGGGCTGGCTGAAAACTGGTCTCTGGTTTCGTTTTGTGCTTCTCTGACTGTGGTTTAAGTTGATCACCTTTAATGTATTCCAGAATCATTTAAATGTTTCTTCCTATGAATTGTTCTGCTTATTTTCAAAAAGATTGTATTTCTCCCAACGAACACACTGAACGGAGGTAGATGCAGGCTGTTTTCTGGAGACCAGAACAGTGTAGGAAGAACTGAGAGTGCTGTTGCCAGTGTTACTTTATCTGACTCAGATGTCCTTTGTACACCCTAGAGAAAGACAGTGTGGACTTAGACCTTTGAAGATGAGATCATCCCAAGTGGAATCTCCTGCCTCCTTCCCTATAGCACTTCTCCTCCCCCTTCCTCATTCCTCAGTCCTCTCTCTTCATCCTACCAAAACCTCATTTTCAAGGATCCACACCCTAGTCCCCACTCAAGTCTTACCTTTAATAGCGCTACAGTGCTTTCCCCTTCAGTTCACCCCTTCATGGGTTTTACAAATTTAGGCTTTTGCAAGTGTTACTAAATACATTTTTCTAGGAGTGAGACAGGTTATAGAAGTGAAAGAAGCAATGTGCCAATGTGCGATAAAAGGGAGTATGTGATAAATGTGAGTATAAGTGGTAATGCAGAGACAACACACTTGTATCAAGTGTAGCCGTCATGAAGCTTTTCCTAAATAACAGAAAACCCCAGATGCAGTGACTTTGAACATTTGTTTAGCTCACTCTTCTGCACTTTAGCCTAGGAGTAGGGCTTAGGAAATGGTTTTTTGGGTCCTGGCTGAGCACCTGCAGGCAACTGCAACCTATTGCAAGTCAGCCTTGCTGACCTTGGCTGGCCTCTTTATGCATCTGGGAATAGACGCTGAGCAGGCTCTGGTTACATGGTCTGTTGGCTAGCAGGCTGGCATCTGCCCATGGTGGTTACAGGGTCCCAAGATAGTAAGGCTTTTGGAGGTCTCGGCTGAGAACTGGCACAATGTCACTCAAGTCATAAGGCCAGCCCAGACTCAACAGGTAGGGAAATGGATTTAGATTTTTGGTTGTAGGAGCTTTAGAATGACATTCAAAAGGTCATGGAAAACACAGAGAGAAAGAACTGTGATTACAATTCTCTTTCTGTTTTGGAAACTACCTGCCTCAGAGTTGTCATGCAGGAATGTGAGTTTGCCCTGGCCAGAGCCTCTGATTTTTCAAGAGAAGCTGGCAAACATGTTGGAACACCAGAGAGGAGCCCTGGTAGGCAACTGGGCTGCTTGTGTCAATCCTTTGCCCTCTAGCCTCTCTTGGCCAGGCCAGCCTGGGCTTTCTCGTGGACTCTGGAGCCAGGCTCTGTGGCGGCAGATCTAACTCTGCCCTTTCCTTGGCATGGGACAGCCATTTCCCATTGCACAACCTTGTTTCCTTATGTGTAGGGAGGGAGTAATAGTAGCACCTTCTGGAGCAGAGACTCATTGTACACAAATGACAGTTGGTAGATATTTTTAAAGGATTTATTTATGTATTTATTTGACAGACTCACAGAGAGAAGACTTCCATCTATGGGTTTACCCCCAGCAACAATTGGGACTGGGCCAAAGCCAAAGATAGGTCTAAGAACTCCAGCTGGGTCTCCTACATAAATGGCAGGAACACAAATACTTGAGTCATGATTTTCCACCTCCAGGCACATAAGCAGAAAGCTGGATTGAAGGCAGAGGCAGGACTCAATCCCAAGCACTCAGGTATAGGATATGAGCATCCAAAGTGGCAGTTTCACTCACCGTAGCTAAGTGTCCCCCAACCCCCACCTCCTGGAAACCTAGGAATTTTCCAGATGCCCTCAGTGAGGATGCCTGATCTGGGGCCACTCCAGGAGTGGCCTTCTCCCTGCCTGCATCACTCCTCCCCTTGGGAAACAATCATTTAGGTTTCCTTGTGCCTGTGATCACAGACAGGCAACCTCCCTGAGCGTGGCCAACTAGAATTGTTGGGTTTTTCTTTCTTCGTGTCTCTTTCTTTCTTTCTTTCTTTCTCTCTTCTTGTCTCTTTCTTTCTTTCTTTCTTTCTTTCTTTCTTTCTTTCTTTCTTTCTTTCTTTCTTTCTTTCTTTCTTTCTTTCTTTCTTTCTTTCTCTCTCTCTCTTTCTCTCTTTCTTTCTCTCTTTCTTTCTTCTCTCTTTTCTTCTTTCCTGCCTTCATCCCTCCTTCCCTCTGCTTTCCTCCGTCTTTGCCTATCTAAAAGGCTGCAGAAAAAGTTTCCTCTGCATTACTTTAGAAAACTCCCACATGTGAGAGGCCACTGTCATTCCGTGGTGGTTGGCTCCTTGGTGCTTGTGAAAGGCTGTGGCCATCTCTCTAAGGATCCTGCCCTCTGCTGTGGAAGGCAGTGCTTGTTCCTGGGGAGCAGCTTGCTCTTTGCCACACAAAGTAAGCCCAGAGCGTGGTGTTTTGCAAATACCTGGCAACTGCTTCCTTCTTGCCTGGCTGCACACTCAGTCGGAGCCCTTGGGAAAGCAGATGGTTGGCTTGGGGCTCATGCCATCCCTGCCTGCCCTCTCACTGTGGTTTCTTAGCGGCTCCCACCTGCTCTGCCTATTCTTAGCCTGGTGGCTGATCTTCCCTGGACATTTGGTCTATAGGTTTGTCCTTAAGAAGCAGAAACAAGGGAACCAGCCGGAGGGGCTGGGACTGGTCCTGAGCTGAGTTTGTGAGTCTCAGAGAAGGCATGCTTGGAGAGTTGACGCTTTGAATCCCTTGTGGGTTCCTCAGAAGCGGAACTAAGGTCAGATGGCCATAGTTAAGGAAGTGTTGGAATCTTTTTCCAGATTTCCTCAAATTGGAGAATTCTGGATAAAATTCTAAACAGTGGCAAGAAGGGGACTAGGAATAATCATATATGGAATGTCTGAAAGGAACCTCACCACTGTTCATTCTAGAGCTTTGTTTTGCTTTCTACTTAAAAAAAAAAGTGTGTGTGTATATAATTTGAAAAGCACAATTACAGAAAGGGAGAAAGGGCCTGATAAATGAAGATCTATCTTCTCTCCACAGGCTTATTCCCCAAAAGCCTGGAGCCAAAAACCAGGAAGCAGGAGCTTTGTCCATAGCTCCAACATGGGTCATTCTTTACTGTTTTCCCAAGTCATTATCAGGGAGTTGGATTGGAAATAGAGTAGCCAGGATACAATCCAGCATCCATAGGGGATGCTGGCATTGTTATAAACAGCATTTTAATCTGCTTTGTAACAACGCTAGCCCCTCTCCTTTAAAAAAATTAAATAAAAATTTCAGACATATAGAAAATAAACATAGGCTAATGTAGTAAATGCAGTTCCATCACCCACAATGAGCAAATGTTAACATTTTGCCATTTAATTCCCCTATTTTAAACTATGATGTTTAAAGGAAATTACAGACATTATGTCCTTTTAACCTCTGAATATTTTAAGTGAATTTCCAAAAAATTAAAATTCTGTGAATTTAGAACTTATTTTATATAGCCACCCATCTCATTAAGTAAAATATGTAGATTCTTGGTGTGTAGAGTGATGCTTGGGATACATCTGAGTGGAGATGCCAAATGGGTGATTGAATCTGCCTCCAACGTTACGAGCATTAGCAGAAACCTGGATTGGAAGTAGAGGCGCTGGGACTGGAAACACACACTGTGATGTGGGCCACGGGCGTCCCTCGCAGCATGTTAGCTGCTGTGCCAGTGCCACCCCCGCCCCCAGCATTATCGTTTGCTACAGACGGGGACGCAGGCCCAGGATTGTCACTGCCTGTCTTGTCTAGACCTCACAGATCACTCAGGGGAGAGCTGAGGCCCGTGGGGGGAGGGCAACTTGCCCGAGTTCACTCAGTGGACTAAGTGACAGGGCTGGCACTGCAGCCCAGGGCCCCCAGTACAGGGTGGGATGTACCTGGCTAACACAAGCCTTCTCCTTCAGGCCCCAAGCTGGACGTTCAGGCCTCAGTTTCTTGCTGGTAATCCCTCTGCAGAGGATTACCAAGTATCCGTTGCTGCTGCAGAAAATTCTGGAGAACACACTTCCCAATGCCCAGGCCTACGCTGTCCTCCAGAGGGCCGCCTCTGCCCTCCGGGATGTCAATGCCAACATCAATGAGTACAAGATGCGCAAGGAAGTGGGTAAGGATATGGGGTGTTTAGAAGACTCATTCATGAGACTGCTTCCAGTGGCTGAAATCTTGTCTTACTGGCTTTACCAACAGAGTATGGTTGCTCATGTAACTAATGCAGAGACAATGTGGGCTTTAGGTAGGGTTTGATCAAGGTGCTGGCTCCATTTCCCGGTAACCCTCTTTATTGCCACTCATTACTGTGAATCAGCTTCATCTTCAAGTTAGTTTCCCTCATGGTGGTAAGTGGCTGTGCTGTTCTAAGACTCATATCTGCATTCTACATCCACTAAGTTTCAAGATAGGACTTTTCCTCCCCTTAAGCATAAACAAATGAGAGCTCTTGGATAAGACCCAGTTGGTCACATGCTCACTTTGAACACATCGCCGCGGTTAGGAGAGTATCATGAGTGGATTGGCTTGGGCTAAAGCTGTGTGCTCTCGTTTGAACCAGTCACTGTTGCCAAGGATTGGGAGCCTAGGACCCCTAGCTAGCCACAGACTGCCACACTGTGGAGGAGAGGAGAATGCTGGGTGGCTCGAGGGCTGTCTGCAAAGACCCAGAACCTCCCCACAGGAAGGTCTAGAAGATGGAGCAGGGTCTGAGAACAGAGACATTTGGCCTTGCCGCCGATATAGCGTCATAGTGGGTATTTAGCCAGTGTTGTCCGGGGCCAACTGGACACATCCTCCCCTTTGTTGTCTTCCTTGCCCCTTGACCCCGTGATAGCTTGGTAAACTACATTTCGTGCCACTTGCTTCTGGTCCCAGAGCTGTGAGGGAGAGAGCCAGGTACAAACTCAGGTGTGTGCTCTTTCTCACCATGCCATACCGTATCTAGTGGCTTTGTGCAGCTCCCTGGCTCGCTTCTTCCTCCAGAATGAGAAACTGCCTGCCAAGGGGTGGGAAGTGCAGCTCCCGGCCGACCTGGCCAAGCCTGCCTGAGGAACCTGGGGCCAGTGGCTGCCTGCTGGGTTCTTCTCCAGGAAGTCTTGCCAGACCTGGCCATCCTACAAGCTGGCTGACCTCCTCTTCCAGATGAGGAAAGTGAAGCCCCCAGGAGCAGCCCTGCACCTTGTGCCCATCACTCACGCTTCTGAAGGGTGCCATCCTGATGGAGAGGGGACCCAGCCAGATGAGTCAAAACCCTTGCTTTCCTAGAGCAGTCTGGGTCACCTAAGCTATGCCCCATCTTCTCTGTTGGCTCAGCTTCCAAGTACACCAGGGTGGAGCAGCTGACCCTCCGGGAGCGGCTGGCCCGCATCAACACACACACCCTCTCCAAGAAGACCACCCGGCTGAGCCAGCTGCTGAAGCAGGAGGCAGGGCTGGTGCCCAGGGTGAGTGTGGGCCTGGGAGGGAGTTCACCCCCTAGTCACATCCGGGCTGTGCATAGTAGCAGGGGTGGGAGGCTGAGGCAGCTAGAGCTGAGGGAGAGGTGCTGGGAGGTGGCAAGATAGGCATCCATCCTGCCTCCAAAGAGCTGGTGTGGGGCTTTCTCTGCTGTGCCTGGTGCTGCTGCTTTTCTGGGCCATCTTCCCACAGAAAGGAGAGAGAGTCTCCGGGGCTGCTAGGAGCCACTCAGGTGTCTCCATTTTATGGGCGAGACCACAGACTCCAACAGACAGCCAAACACTTGCTGGGGATCACACAGTCAGGGAGTGGGCGTGTGTGATTACGTGGTCTGAATAGAAAAGCACCAAGCTGCACTGCCTCTTACTAATTTCACTCTCCACTTTGGGGCTGGTCTGTGGAAAGAGCGTGCTCAGTAAAGTCTTGGGGTACAGTGTGCACTGCCCCCTGGCGGATCTCCACGGCACTCACTTTGCATATTTATCACCAGACGGAAGACAAGGAGTTTGAGGACTTAGAAGAGAGGTTCCAGTGGGTGTCAGTGTGTGTGACTGAGCTAAAGAGCAACGTGGCTGCTTACCTGGATCATCTGGAGGTGAGGCCCCCACACAGTTGATTTCAAGTAGGTCTGGGCTGGGTCGTTAGCCTGGGGTAGCTCTCAGCCTTGCTGGGATTCTTGTTGGGCAGGATCACAGCAAGGGGAAACTCCAGGGGGACTTGGCTGAGCCAGCACTTAGAACAGTAGAGAGACAAACTCAGGTTTCTAAAGGGGCCAGGCAGGTAATGGTACGGAGTGACACCAGCATGCAGTAGGAATCTAATATCAAGCTGACTGCTTAAATAGATTTTCCCAGCCGACTTAAATGGTAAAATAAGATTAGGCTTTTGACTAGCTGAATGAATGAATGAGTCTGAGAACGCAGCCGTCACTCAGTACTGGGGGTGCTGCTGCTGGCTGGGGATGGGGGCTGAGGGTGTCCTGGTCGTCTGGTTTTGAGCAAACAAACTCTAGAAACTCTGACTTTGAGGCGACATCTCCTGATGTGTCAACCTGAGCCATTTATTTGATAAAAATCTCACTGCTGGGCAGGCCCAAGAAAATAGATCTCTTCAAACTAACTTCAGCCACAGGGCTGCCAGTTTGCCCGCCCATCCTGCACAGCACTGCCCTCTAGCCTTGTCATCCGGGCTGGCTCAGTTTATCTACTATGCCCCCTTTACATGGTTTTGTTCTCAGTCATGTCCATTTGCGCAAGCCAGTTCAGGCAGTGATAATCACGGGGCCTTTTGGATGACGGGAGCTTCCTGGGAGCGTGTGATTCTCCAAAGGTTTGCGCTCCACACTGGGCCTCCAGGGTGTCCTGACACAGCGCTGGAAGGGAAGCTGCTCTGAGCTGCCCTGAGCTGGAGGGAAGAGCCTATAGCTCCTGGGCTTGGGAAAAACAAAGCAGGGGACATCTGGCTTCTTCATGCCAGATGAAGATTTGGAGCTTCTGGTGCTGCATTTCTGTGGAGGCAGAACCTACACACTAGACACAGTGTTAAGGTGGAATCTCCCCCAGGAGACAGGGCTCCCCTCCTCTCAGCTGCCAGGACTAGAACCAGCCCCGACATGGGACACTGGCATTGTAGGAGGCAACTTAACTCATTACGCCACAATGCCAGCCCCAATGCATTGATAGGAACAGTTGGTTGATTTAAAGAAAAATATTAATAGAGCACATGCAATATGGACTTGGGAAGAAAAATCACAGAAGTGGTCGGAAGACACCTGATAAGACAGGGAAACAGATGTTGGTTTGTTCCAACATCTGGTATGAGGCGAGAGTAAGCTGGAGTGTCCTGACTCTGGGGGTGTGTCCAGGGTCTGGATGGCCTCTGTGGGAGGTTATATGAAAGGGCAGTGAGGCATGAGACAGCCCCCATAGGTCATGACTGTGTGTTTCCCACTGGCCCAGGCTTTCCTTCACTTCAGGCCGCATGACTACGATCTGGATGTGTCCGAGGGGCCCGTGGCACACTACCGCAGCCTGGCCAGGGATCTACAAAGTGAGGCCTTCCTGGAGTTTGTGAGTGCAGCTGTTTTCTCCTCTCTGGCTGGGGCAGAGGTTACAGGAATATTTAGATGGCAGTTGCTTTACAAGATTCTGATGTCCATGTTGGCTGCTAAGAAGCACCAGTAGTACATTCTGGGTCTTCCATGTGGATGCAGTGTCCCAAACACATTTGCTGTCCTCTACTGCTTTCCCAGGCTCATTAGGAGGGAGTTGGATGGGACTTGAACCAGCACCATATAGGATACTGGCTTCACAGGCAGCAGCTTGACTTGCTATGCCGCAACAATGACCCCCTAGTAGTGCATTTTATGAGCAAAATGGCCCCAGCTGTATGTGTTGAGCCCCTCTACTAGAAGTGTGCTAAGCCTCCTATGTTCTCTTCATCCTTTCATTCACACCATGTGGCTCCTGGAAGGGACACTATTAATAGCCCCATTCTACAAATGGGAGTTTGAGGCTCAGAAGGATGTCCTCCCCTGTTGTTTATCTAGATAAACTGAGGCAAGCTGAGATCTGAGCGCCGTAGGGTATGCCCTTGCCTCTATTCAGAATCTTTTTCAAGATCTTTTCATAATAATAATATGAAGACATATGGAATGTGCATGCACTCTGTTAAGCACTCTACATGCTCCAGTTTATAGAGGAGCAGACTGAAGTCGGGAGGGGTTCAATGACCTGCAAAGGGTCCTGGCTAGTCTGTTGGGATGCTCAGGCCACTGGTACCCAAGCCTTCCTGCTCCAAAGCCCCTTCCCCCAGCACCCCTGCCCCTGCCCCTTCTCCTCACTCTCAGGCTCACCTCTTCTCCACAGAAACAGCGGCTGGAAGGCCTGGTGTGGCAGCCGCTGTGCAGCCTGGGCAAAGCCCTAGCTGGCCCTCAGAACCTAATCAAGAAGCGTCTGGACAAGCTGCTGGACTTTGAACGGGTGGAAGAGAAGCTTCTGGAGGCAGGCAGTGTGACCTATGAGGAGGAGGCGGCCCGGCACACGTACCAAGCGCTTAATGCCCTGCTGGTAGCCGAGCTCCCACAGTTTAACCAGCTGGCTATGCAGTGGCTGGGCCAGCTCCTGTGCACATTCGTGGCCCTCCAGAGCGACCTGGCAAAGCAAGTGCTGCAGAAGGCAGAGGGCAGCATGGCTCAGGTAAGGCCACAGGGACTGTGGCACCTCTGGAGAGTAGCCAGGTCAGGCCTGGCAGCTCCCTTCAGCTGGCTGTTGGCAGGGGCTGGAATGAAATGAGATAGGGTCTTCCGAACAAGTCAGCAGGTTCTTAGAAGTGGGCAATGGGAACTTCTAGATCTCCCTGGTCTCCCTCCATTGGTGGAGTCAGACCCTGAAAACAAGGGTAGGACCAGAATTCAGGCCATTTCCAGATTTGGGCTCTGAAGTTGACAAGGCTCTGCTGGTCAGATAGGAGACTGGAACCCATCCCTGGAGTGCTAGCACAGGTGATGACAGGGACAGAAGGCCCTTCTATGCAGGCAGAAGTAAATGTCTCTGGCTGGCATTGTTTGTACTCATGCACCCACTAGCTACCTCCTCCAGTAGGTACAAGCTACCTATTTCGAGAACTTCCCATGGAGCGTTAGGTATTTTCTCGTTAAACCCTTGCAGCACCCCTGTACTGTCAATTTTGTTATTATTCTCCTCCTTTAAAAAAAATTGAAGGAGCCGAGGCCAAGAGAGGTTCTGTATTTAGTCTGAGGCCACACAGTAAGTAGCAGACTTTGGACACTGGCAGCCTGGGCCCTTGGACCATAGAACTCAAAAGCCTGCTTCTGCTGAGCACTGGTCAGAGCCCCTTCCCCAGTGCCCCTGCCTGCGGGGCGGGGAAGAGCTTAGCTTCCTCCCAGCCCTTAGAGCATTCTGCAGAGTTCTGTCTCAGAGATTTTTTGGAGGTCAAGTTGATAGTGGCAGGAAGCCAGGCTGTTTCCCACCCTGCTATGCACTGTAGAATGTTAGGGCAGCACCTGCCACCAGCCTGCCTTGACTTCATCCCTGTGGAGCCCAGGGAAGGCCTGCAGAGCAGAACCCCCGTCCTGTTTTTGTGAAGTGAGTCTGGTGACAGGCCCATGAGCTTGGACATGTCTCTGTGAGCCATAGGGTCTTCCCCACTTAGTCCCAGTGGTCACATGAGTGTGCAGAAGGCTCTTCTCCTGGGCAGACCCCTGTCAGGGCACAGTCTGACCCACAGTTCCTTTGGCTACAAGTACCACAAATCTGAACCAGACTGGATTGAATATGAAGAGAAGATAATGATGTAGGGGCCTGGAGGCCCAGAGAGGATCAGGCCTGAGGCATGGCCCTGTGCAGAAAAAGTAATGTTGAGAGGGTACTGAGCTTTGCTCTGCCCCCTGTCTCTGCTTCCCTCCCTGGGCTGGCCTTACTCCCAGGCAGGCGCTACCCTGCATGCTGCGAGAACTGGCAGCAGAGAGCACCTCACATGCCCCTGAGGCAGAGCAGTGCTCTTGTTCTCAGCCTGCACGAAGGGCTCCCCTGCCTGGCTTGGGTCCATTGTCAGCTTGTGCCTGGCCTTGTGGGTGAGAGGAAGGGATGCCATGGCTGACAGACCCTCAGACAGAACATCATGGTAGGTAGCAACCCTGAACTCCATGGAGAGATGCATCCTCAGAAGAGAGGGGATGAGTGGGCAGCCAGCACCCACAGCAGGCTGGGAAGGGAAGACCCCTCTTGGCTCTCTGTTGACTAGGGTGTGGGCAGCCAGTCTCCTTGTCTCTTGTTTCCTGAAGAAGACCCCATCTGTCCCACTCCCCTCCCCATAGCTGCCCCACCGCCACCTCTCAGAACCTGCCTTCAGGAAGCTGGTGGAAGACACCCTAGGCCAAACCAGTGCCTGGCTTCACTCCTTCCAAGAGGGCTTTGAGAAGGTGCTGCCACCTCCCACCGTGCAAGTAAGTGTCCCTGCCTCTCCCCCACCCCACAATCTGCCCAGGTTTCCATGTGCCCCCAGTGAGGCTCAGTGCTCACCCCTCCCTTCCCTTTGTTTCTTCCTGCTGTTGTGTTATCCATGGACACATATCCTGGGTGGGATTGGGGGTGGTTAGTCTGGGTGGAGTGCATACCCACATACACAGTAAGCTGAAGAGCAGAATGGAACTCTTGGGTCCAGAGTAAGAATACCCTAACACTTGAAGATTAAGTGGAGTTAGTCATAAGCATGGGCAAATGGCATCATCATCAAAAGCATGGGATTTGGGGGGCTGGCCTTTTGGTCTAGTCGTGAAGAGGCCCATCTCAGAGTGTCTAGGCTCAAAATCCAGCCTTGGTACCAGCCTTGTAGCATATCAGGTTGAGCCACAGCCCGCAGCACTGACATCCCCTATTGGCACTGGTGCAAGCCTGGCTGCTAAGCTTCCAATCTGGCTCCCTGCAGATGTGCTCAGGGAAACAGTATCTGTACTTGGGTCTCTGGCGCTCATGTGGAGGAGGACCTGGGCAGAATTCCTAGCTTTGGCCTGGTCTAGCTCTTGCCACCGCAGCCATTTGGCGAGTGAATCAGCACTTGGAAGATTTCTTTATCTATATAACTCTGCCTTTCAAACAATAAACAAAACCTTAAAAAAAAAAAAAGAACCCAGTTCTGCTTGTGCCTCTAACTTCCTGGTAATGTGGACCTTGGAGATGCTCCAGTGGGTTCCTGTCACCCGCAGGGGAGAGCTGCTTCAGCTCTTGGGCATCTTGGGAGTGAACCAGTGAATGGAAGTGTACTTGCATGTTCTCTTTCTCTCTCTCCCTTTCTCTCTCTCTGCCTGTAAAATGAAAGCAAATCAACCAACCTGGAACAGCCTCAAGGTTTTCATCAAGGTGTGTCCTACTTCCTCACCACTTTTTAAAATAAGATTTATTATTATTTTTTTATTGCAAAGTCAGCTATACAGAGAGGAGGAGAGACAGAGAGGAAGATCTTCCATCTGCTGATTCACTCCCCAAGTGGCTGCAACAGCTGGTTGAGCCGATCCAAAGCCAGGAGCTTCTTCCAGGTCTCCCACGTGGGTGCAGGGTCCTAAGGCTTTGGGGCGTCCTCAACTGCTTTCCCAGGTCCCAAACAGGGAACTAGAAGGGAAGCAGGGCCACTGGGATTAGAACTGGTGCTCATATGGGATCTCAGGCGCATTCAAGGCGAGGACTTTAGCTGCTGAGCTACCGTGCCGGGTCCTCCTTACCACTTTCTAATACCAACTTCCATACCAGCATTGAAGATGAACAAAAAGTATGAGTAAGAAGTCATTTACATTTTACCTATTGCTTTGGTATTTTTAATATGTATTTAAATTAAGCTTTGTTTATTTTATTCAAAAGTCAGTTACTGAGAGAAAGGGAGAGATAGCAATCCTCAATCTGCTGGTTCACTTTTGCTGCCTTCCCAGCCATAAGCAGGGGGCTGGATCAGAAGTGGAGCAGCTAGGACATGAACCACTGCCTCTATGGGATGCTGGCACTACAAGCAGAAGAAGGATTTGCTACACCACTGTACCAACCCTATACTATGGCATTTTTTTTAATAACAAAGGGAACTATATAAACTGCATAATGATTTCTAAAGCTTTGGCTGGACAAATGCTTTTTTTAAAGCATTTTTTTTCCTCTAAAATGGAAAGAAACAAACTGTTCCAGTCACTTGGAAAGCACAGCTGGCAATCTGTGTTTCACATGCAACTGCAGTAGCTTTAGGAAGAGGCTTTTTCTGAGCTTTTACCCAAAATGTGGTAAAACCCAGACTGGAGAAAGCAAAAGTGCATGTTTGGTGGCACAAAAGATTTGGAGTAAGGGGTCACCAGACAGTTCCGAGGAACACAGAGAGATAGGGAAGGGGCCTAGCAGAGCCGGACAGATAGTGTGACCTTCAGCCCTGGCCACAATGCCAAGACTGTCCAGGACTAGCAGGGACTCATGTCTGTTCCATGGGAGTCATAGCAGACTCCTCCTTGGGCCATAGCTGTTCCCTTCCTTCCCTGTACTCTACGCCTACACCTCCTCAGGGCTAAACCACAGACCCTATACTGATATCAGGGTAAGGGGAAGTGTACCAAAAAAGACTTACAGGTGCCAGCTTGTGGTACAGTAAGTTAAGCCACTGCCTGCAAGGTTGGCTTTCCATATGGCTGCCAATTAAAGTCCTGGCAGCTCCACTTCCTAACCAGTTCCTTACGCATGTGCCTGGAAAAGCAACAGATGATGGCTCAAGTGTTTAGAATCCTGCTTAGTCACATGGGAGACTCAGACGGGAATCTCCTGGCTTCTGTCTGGCCCAGTGCTAACTCTTGTGGCTATCTTGGGAGTGAATCAGTAAATAGAAGATCTCTCTCTTTAACTCTGCCTTTCAAGTAAATACATATTTAAAAATAAATTTAAAAAGAAAGAATTGGGCCTGGCTCGGTGGCCTAGCAGCTTAAGTCCTCTCTTTGAACACACTAGAATCCCATATGGGCGCCGGTTCTTGTTACAGCAGCCCTGCTTCCCATCCAGCTCCCTGCTTGTGACCTGGGAAAGCAGTCAGGGACAGCCCAAAGCCTTGGGATCCTGCACCTGTGTGGGAGACCTGGAAGAAGTTCCTGGCTCCTGGCTTTGGATTGGCTCAGTTCCGGCTGTTGCGATCACTTGGGGAGTGAATCATCGGATCAAAGGGCTTCCTCTCTGTCTCTCCTCCTATCTGTATATCTGACTTTGTAATAAAAATAAATAAATCTATTAAAAAAGAAAGAATTGAAGCCCCTCAAATTTGTGATGGGAACCTCCTCTCTGTACTTAAAACAAGTTAGAATGACATTTTTCTTACTGGAATAGCGAACTGTACTCATTTTAGGAGACTGAGAAAATGTAGAAACATAAGCCAAATAAACAGGTGAAAACATCTGTGATTCTAGAGACTGCACGTTTACCCTTCCCATTTGTCACACACATCAAACCTCCCTTCACTTCTTGACTTACTTGGCTCAGAGTCCAGAGCCCAGTGGAAATGCTGTGACCTAAGGACAGGAGCAGTCCTGATGATAGCTTTATGTGTCCTTCCCTGAGGGACTGCCAGGGGTGCTGCTGTTCTCAGTACAGATCTGGGGCATCAAACTTAAGGAGGCAAATGTTTACTATACCACTGACTTAATAATAGTAATAATAATGTTTTTTGAAAGTTTATTTGCATCAGCTTGAAATGGAGTGACAGAAAAAGAGGGTGAGAGAGATGAGATTTTCAATAGGTTCATTCCTCAAATGGCTACAGCAGCCAGAGCTGAGCCAGGCCCAAACCAGGGGTCAGGAACTCCATCGGGGTCTCCCACATGAGTTACAGGAACCTATGGTCTTGAACCACCTTTCTAGGCACACTGACGAGGAGCTAGATTGGAAGAGAAGTAGCCACAACCCAAACTGGCACTCATGTAGGATGTTGGCCTTGCAAGCGATGAGTTAGCCTGTTGCACCATAAGGCTGGCCCCTTAATGCTTTCACTCCCTGACCACACCCTATGCTGGCTTTTTTTTTCCTTATGATTTATTTTTTTGAAAGACAGATACACAAAGAAGGAGCTACAGAGAGAAAGATCTTCTATCTGCTGGTTCACTCCCCAAATAACCGCAATGGCCAGAGCTAAGCTGATCCAAAGCCAGGAGACTGGAGCTTCTTCCAGGTCTCCCACATGGGTGCAGGGTCCTAAGGTTCAGGACCATCCTCCACTGCTTTCCCAGACCACAAACAAGGAGCTGGATGGGAAGTGGAGCAGCTGGGATACAAACCAGTGCCCTATGGAATCCCAGCAGTTGAAAGGTGAGAATTTAGCTACTAGGCCAAAGGGACAGGCCCATCATTCTGGCTTTTATACTCACATTATCCAACCACTCTCCACCATTCTATTTAAGGGTCTGTTTAGAGACATTAGGCTCTCTGGTTCTTAATCCTGACCCAGTATTTCCAATGGGGTTGGGATATGGCAGAGACTATGCCTGAATGTCCCCAAATGGCACCTCTGCTTACCTCTCCACACTTAACTTCTCCCCCTAGAAGTAACCTTATACATCATGGTGAACATATTTGTGCATGCGTGTGTGAGTTTATCTAAATACTTGCACAGACAAAGTGCAGTCGATACACGTTCAGCTTGTTTACTTCCCTATTGGTTTTACCAACAGGAGACGCTCATGCCTAAGTCCCTTCTTGTTGACGCTTGGCTGGAGGCAGTGAGTAGGAGAACTAAAGAAATGCCAAGAGAGTCAGGGACAAGCTGTGAGTTTCCATCCAGGCAGACACCCTCCTGTGTCTCTACACCATTCACAAAGCTCATCAATGGTCCTTTGCTTGTTGGGCACTTGGTGAATCCTTGTGGGCTGAAAACTCACCAAGTTGTGAATGTGTGAGGGTTGCCATGTGTGCCCCATGCAGGCTGCAGGGCCAGCTGCCTAGGGTTTGGTGACTGCATGAAACTTATAGTCTCACAGAGCTGGAAGACCTGTACAAAGCATTTCCTGGGGTGTAACTTAGTTGGGCATTTTGGACTGGATTTAGGGCCAGAAATTTCAGAATTTGAATTATGATTTTATAGGATCCCAGAAACTGGACTTTTAAAAAACTTGTTTTTGCATGCTAAGAGCCAACCCTCTGGTACCCTGCTTGCTCAGCAGAAGGAGGATGGGGCTGGACATAGCTTTCAGAGCACGGGCGAATGTTCATGTCTGTACCTATGCCTGACTCTCTCCCTCTCCCCCAGCCTCTGCTGCCAGGATCTGAACGCCAGGTGCAAGCTCTCCTGAGCAAGTATGGCCCTGGGAAGCTGTACCAGGTGACAAGCAACATCAGTGGGTCAGGGACCCTGGACCTGACCCTGCCACGGGGCCAGATCGTGGCCCTGCTTCAAAACAAGGACACCAAAGGCAACAGTGGCCGCTGGCTGGTGGACACCGGGGGTACGTAGATCTTTGCCATCCATTCTTTTCCTGGGATGAGACTCGAACAGGAGCCGTGGGATGACAGAGGCACTCTTGTGGACCCTGTCTGGCTGTCACAGCAATGAGCACAGGTGACATGCAGGGTAAGGGACACAGCTTGGTGTGACCCAGTGCTGCACAATGTGAGGAGGAATTCAGTCTTTCATTGCAACATGTGTCATCAGATTGTGCAGGGTCCTAAGAAAAGGGCCTAGCTTTGGGGAAGATAGAGACATAGGAGAGAATTCAGCACCGCTGGGGGCCCCAGGTACTTGATTGAAGGCTGATGTAGGGATTAGGAAATGACTGGCCGTCCTGGCCTTAGGTTGTTATTCAGTTCTGGGTGCCACAGGGTAGCTGGTCTGGAGTGGCACCATCATCTGAAGGTAATTCACCCAATAGAACTTTCCGGAGAGGAGTGGAGAGACCCACAAAGTAAGGGTTACACAACATTCCTGTTAGGAAACCCATGGACTTTTATTTTGTAAGACTTTTACTTTATTTGTTTGAAAGGCAGAGTTAGAGAAAAGAAGAGACAGAGATGTGTCTGTTACTTTACTCCCCAAATGGCTGCTGCAGCCAGGACTTGTTCAGAGCGAATCCAAGAGCCAGTTGCTTTATCCGTGTCTCCCACATGGCTGCAGGGGCCCAAGCAGGGGCCATTTTCTGCTGCTTCCCCAGGTGCATTAGCAGGAAACTAAGTTGTAATTAGAATAGCTGGGACTCAAACCGGCTCCCATATGAGATACCTGCATTGTAGTTGGCAGCTTTACTTAATGCAACACAGCACCAATATCAATGTGAAGTTTTTTGTTTTTTAAGACTTAGCCTGTTGGGCCCGGCGCGGTGGCGCAGTGGTTAAGGTCCTCGCCTTGCACGCCCAGGATCCCATATGGGTGCCGGTTCTCTCCTGGCAGCCCCGCTTCCCTTCCAGCTCCCTGCCTTTAGCCTGGGAAAGCAGTCAAGGACGGCCCAAGGCTTTGGGACCCTGCACCCATGTGGGAGACCCGGAAGAGGCTCCTGGCTTCAGATCGGCATAGTATCGACCGTTGCGCTCACTTGGGGAGTGAATCATCGGACGGAAGATCTTCCTCTCTGTCTCTCCTCTCTGTATATCCGCCTTTCCAATAAAAAAAATAATAAAAATAAATCTTTATAAAGACTTAGCCTGTTGTGGGAGCCTGGTGGCTAAAGTCCTCGCCTTGCATGCGCTGGGATCCCATATGGGTGGTTCTAATCCCAACTGCTTCACTTCCCATTTAGCTCCCTGCTTGTGTCCTGGGGCAGCAGTAGAGGATGGGCCAAAGCCTTGGGACCTTGCACTCACATGGGAGACCCAGAAGAAGCTCCTGGCTCCTAGCTCACAGCTTCCGATCAGCTTAGCTATGGCTGTTGTGGCCCTTTGGGGAATGAACCAGCAAATGGAAGATCCTTCTCTCTGTAATTCTTACTTTCCAAAACAACAACAACAACAATAACAAAAAGATTTATTTATTTGGAATATAGAATGAATGAGAGAGAGACAATTGGCCTCAATAGCCAGGCTGGGCAAGATTCCTGGCTTCATCTGGGTCTTCCCATGGGTGGCAGAAACCAAGTACTTGGGCCATTAGCAGCTTTCTTTTCAGTCACATTAATGGGGAACTGATTCAGAAGCAGAGTAATAGCTTAACCTGCTAGACCACAACACCTGCCCCCACAATGATGGCTTTTTCTACTGTTAGACAGCTTATTATAATTGCCTCTTAAGTACATTAATCTGAATCAGAAAAAATAGGACAAGTCCCTAAGCTTGCTGTTGTACATTGTGGTTATATAGTGCTAGATCAAGTTTTAAAAAGAGCCGGTTTAAAAAAGTGATGGGTGTCAGGCATCTAGCACAAAAGGGCACCCTTGGGACTCAGGAAATAATGGACTGGGCATTGTAGCAAGACCCATGGGGTAGGAAGGCTGGGTTGGGATCCCAGCTCTGCTTCTCAGCCAACTGCTTGATCTTGGGCAAGCCAAGCTGCTTTTAGCCCAGGGAGCTCAGCATGAAATGGAGTTAAAAGCATTTTGCCTGCTGACCTTAGGAGCTGGTGTGTGATCCAGTGCTGGAGCTGGCACCTTGGGGAGCGATAGCCATTGTAGCCATCGCAACCAGAGCAATGTGAGAAGGTGCTGGGGCTGCCTGCAGGGTACAAGACAGTCTCTGCCCACGGGAAAGTCAGTCCTGGTGGGAGGCAGCAGTCCAACTCTGGGCTGTCCCCAGAGGAGCATGGGACAGTAGTGTTAGCATCTGAAAAGCAGTGTTCACTATCATTCCAAATAACAACTTGTGGATTCATTCGAGCTATTCACAGCTCGGTGGGGAGTGAGCTCCTGTTGTTATGGGGTATGGTTCCTACATGACCTTGTGGGGGTCCACTGGGACGAGGAGTCCTGGGAAGCTGCATTGGGGGCATTCATATCTGTTGACATGTGTGCCACAAGGGGTGGGAAGACAGTCCATAGATGAATGACCTTCTTCTTGTCTACTAGGCTATCGAGGGTACGTGCCAGCTGGGAAACTGCAGCTATACCACATTGTTCCAAATAATAAGGAGCCCAGAGGACAGGCGGGCCCACATGTGGACTCCCAGCAGCCAACACTGCTGCCCACCCCAGCCCCTGTCCCCTCTGTCCCTGCTGTGACCCAGGTAAGTCTTGGGCAGGCCTGGGTGCTGGCCTCCCCTCAGCCACCTAGCCTGGGGCTGGAGTTGGCTCTGCCCGTCTGGGGGGAGCTACCATCCTGTGAGGTTGGGGTGTTGAACAATGGCCACATCAAGTGTCCAGGTCAGGGAGAGACCCAGAAAAAAGGACCTCTCACTCCTGCCACATAAGCACTAGAAAGCTGACCCCACCCTCATCCTCTCCCTACCAAAGAGCAAATGGGATTTATGCATTCCCTGTTTGCCAGACACTGCAAAGATAATGGATATAAAGACGAATAAAGCCTCATGTTCTTTCCACACCCAGACCCATGCTCTCGGGGAGAACTGTGAGGAGTAAAGGGACAGTGTGAATAACCCTAAAGGTGATGCAGTGTCGAGTGTGCAGAGGCTCAGGAAAGGTTTCTCCGAGAAGATGCTGTCTTTCTCAGCCAGGAGTGAGTAGAATTGATCAGATAAAGGGTGTGTAGATGGGAGGAACAGAAAATGTGCATAGCACATGCAAAAGTCCAGTGGCAAGGGAGGACAGACGGTGTGTAAGGAAGAGAATGAGGCCCATGTAGGCAGGTTGGAGAGAGAAACTGCTGGAGATGAAGGTGAGGCCAGGCCAGCAGGGCCTTGGGATCCTGGTAAAGGTATCAGTCTTTGTCGCAAAGTCAGTGGGAAACGTGTGTGTGTTCACGGCAGCTTGATTCATGGGAACTGCGAAGCAGACAATCCAAACGCCTCACAGCACCAGTGAGTAGACAAAACATGAGAATCTAGGCAATGGGATATATTCAGTTGTAAACAGGAATGGCCTGGGTGGCTTGAATACAGAATGCCAAATGAGAGAAGCTGGTGGCAAAAGACCATGCATGATGCCCCTGGCAGAAATGTGTCAAGTCGGCCGATAATAAAGACAGAAAGCTCATCAGTGGTGGGCAGGGTCTGGGAGTGACAGAGGGTGTGTGCTAACACTATGCGGTCTGTCTTCTGGGGTGATGAAAATGTGAAACTAGTGGTGACCATCGTGTAACCTTGCAAACGTGCTACAAACATGGCATTGCACATTTTAAAAGGGTGAATAGTGTGGTTTGTGAATTATAGCTCAGAAAAAGGAAGGTGGTAGGAAGCCATTGCTGATTTGTCTTTGCGTGGGTGGGGGTCCTTGTAGGGATGGGATGACCTGGGAAAGCCAGGGTGGGCCCCTGGACTGCAGCGGGCACGGAGGCTGCTCTCACAGTCAACAGCAGCAGCCATGGTTACAGCGTTGGGTGGAACAGCATGAACGGCCTCTCAGAACCAAGTCTCTGTCCTCCCTTGTGTGTCCCTCCTATGTGTTTCAGGTGGTGGCGGTGTACCCCTTTGTGGCCAGGAGCCACCATGAAGTGAGCCTGCAGGCCGGCCAGCCTGTGACCGTCCTGGAGGCTCAGGACAAGAAGGGGAATCCGGAGTGGAGCCTGGTGGAGGTGAACGGACAGAGGGGATATGTGCCCTCCAGCTTCCTGGCCCGGGTCTCAAGCCCAGCATCGTGGGGCTGGAGTCTCCCCTCTTAGCACGTTCTCCTTGGAGCCCTTGTTGCCTAAAGAGGAGAATAGAGGCTGTGACCCTGGAGGAAGAGAAAGAGTCGAAGGGAAGCCCAGGCCGGCGTGGGGGAAGGGCACTGGAAAGCAGACAGAACAGGGGGGTGGGTCACAGAGGCTTAAGGCAGGACCCCTCACTTGGTCTGCACAGGGAAGCCTCACCCCATGCTGAGGTCACACACCCTAGACAGCAGGTTGCAGCTGATTGACCGGTCTGGTTGACACCTCCATCAAAGCCTGCCAGAGGGAGTGGGCTACCCAGGTGAATGTTACGTGTGTGCTATATGTTTACAGAACTGCCCTGCTTCACAGTTCACTGCCTGTATATGGCATCAAAACACACTCTGGCTGGTGGTGGTCACTGACTCCTTGATTTGAGCTTTGGGGTTCTGGACAGTGAACCATGGGGAGCCCTTCTGATCCAGGACACTGTGGGTTCATCCGTGCAGTGAGGAGTTCCCAGGAGAACTCTGGACTGGGCCATGAGTGGGTGTGACCAAGTCACAATTCTGGAATGTACGTGGGCAAATTCAGAGGTGGTTCCCAGGAAGAGGGGACTTTTGACAGAGTGTCTGGTGCGCCAGGGGACAAAGGGACATGCAAAGCAGCCAGGAACCTGAAGTAAGCTGTGGTGGGTGGGGGAAGTCGAGTCATGCCTTGTTTCCCTGTTTCTGGCAACAAGGGGAGCCAGGGGGCTCTGCGGTGGTTTCGGGTTGCTTCCAAAGGCATAGAGGCAGCAGTGATGTGATGTCAGCTGGCTTTGGCATGGCCGCAGCAAGTGTTTCCCCTCTGGGAAGCCCTGACTTACAGGGTGCTGGTGAGAATAAAGTGAGGCTAAGAACATGGAGGCCTTGGCCGCCTGTGAAGTGTGACACCAATGTCAGAGGCCCCAGCCGGCCAGGCTAGTGAGTGGGAGTGGCCCATCATCCTGCCCTCCCTGGGGCAGCAGGCATTGGCACCAACACAATGTCCTTTCCTATTGTCCCGGAATCTATCTGGGGTTCTTCTCAATACTGCATTCAGGGTAGCCCTTGAACTTGGAATGTGAGTCATTCCCCAATTACACCATAAACAGTTCTGCTTCCAAGACCCTGGAGGCTGTGATGGCCATGGTCACAGCTGCCATATCACCTCTAGGCCATTGCCATGGGCTGGGATACATGACAGGATTCACAGGAAAAGGAAAAAGCATGCATTGTGATTCTTGCACGGCTTGGAAGGTTCTCAAGCAACCTGAGTCAGTGTGTGTGAAGCATGGTGATTCAGACTCTGCTGAGAACACCTCTGTAGCATAACTGGGGTGCCTAGCTGTTAGCCCTGCTTTTGGAAGGGCTTTTGTTTGATGTCTGGGTCAGTCCACAGCTCGACACCTCGGAGCTCGGAGGCTGTACAATGCAAGACAAACTGAGTTGTCACAGTGCCTGCCCCAGCACCACATACCTTTTATAGGATTCTCTTGACTCATTGTCCTTCTCCTCTTTGATAAAAATAGTTACCATAGAGGAACAGGTAATAGAATGGGAAGTCTACTTGCAGGTTCCCCAGGGCTTGCTGGGAGCACATTGTGAGCTGGGCTCAGGGCCCCCCACCGTGGCTGCTCACTGGGCAGTGGGGGGGTGGGGAGGGTGGGAGGGCAATGAGGGCAGCCAGGATCTCTGTCAGGGTCTCATCTCACTGACCAGGGGGGCAGTCCAGGCCCTGGGAACTCAGGGATCTCCCCAGGCTCTTCCAAGGTGTAAGCCAGGCTTGGGGACACATAGCCCTGTGCTCAGCAGTGGCTGGTTGCTGTCACGCAGGCTGTGTTCCATGCGCACCTCGTCCTCACTCTTCCAGACAGGGCAGCGCCAGAGGCAGTTGGAGAGAGGACAGCCTGTTCTGTTAGGGCCCAGAATGTATATTAATTAAGTGCCATTAAAAGGGACCTGAGCAGAATCGGATGTTCTTATAAGGAGAAAATTGTTCTTAATGTTCTTAAGGAGAAAATTGGAATAGCACTTGGAGTCAAGTCTATCTTGTGGCGGGAAAACAAAGATGTCGTCAGTAGCATGTAGGTTATGGTTCTTGTAGACCTGGGGATAAGATCAAAATTCACTGCAGGGTAAGAAAGTGCGTGTTAGGAAGCTGGAATGTGCTCTGTGTTGTCTTCAGGGGACTCTGTGTGATGTGCCTTGCTCCTCCTCCCCCGCCTCTGCCCTGGCTGCCTAGAACCGTTGCACTGTTTCTTATTTATTTCACTGCTGAGCTGTTACATACTAAACTGGCTAAGAGATCCATGAGCTGAAGACTGCTCCTGGAGCGGGGCAGTGAGACCCTTTAAGCCATTTGCCTTCTCCTCCCCACCCCACCCCACTCCCGCTCAGTTTTGGATGCGAGGACGAGATTCTATGGTATCAGAGGACAGATGAATGAATGAATCCGTGGTTCATATGACAGATATCAGCTTGATGAGTAACTGATGTGAACTACTCGGAATAAAGGCTGGCGAGGATGAATGTGTCTGGGATGTGTGACTGTAATCACTGGGTAGTCAGGTGCCGATTCTTCACGACACTTGCCAAGAATAAAAATGACACCGTGTCCGTTTGTGTTCGTTTACTGAATGCCTCCTGCGCATACTGCTGATGCCTCCACAGCTTGAAGTGAGCCTCGGAGATTACAGCCGGTGAGAAGCCACTGAAGGGTCCAAAGCAGAGGAATGTCATGCCTTGGGTTGTAGTTTGGGATCCCTGGGCTCTGGCTATGTGCCTGATGTGCTCTGTGAGTGCAAGGAAGCTCAGACACACCCCAAGCCTCGCTCTGCCTCCGCCCCGTGCCACAAGTCATAGATGGGCAGTACACGTCCCAGGGATAAAAGTCACATGGTGGGGCCCAGCTCCAGTTAGCCTCCTGACTGGTGGCAGAAACATTTACACAAGCATCTGACCCCAAAGGGAAGGATTCTATGGACCAGGCTGATAGTTGCCCAGATGAGGGACAGGGCTGTTGTAGGCAGGGAAGGCGTCCTGGAGGAGGCAGGGCAAGTGCTGAGTGTCACAAGAGAGTGCTGCGTAGTCTAGGCCTAAGTGAGCTTTCTCACCTGCATGTCTTATTACAGCAAGCTTCCGTACCCATATGTCGTGTTACAGCAGCAGAAAACAAACCCAGACAGAAAGATTAGAAAGGAGAAAGCATAGAGAGGCTTCCTCAGACCCTGAGAGGCAAGCTTGTGTGGTGGCATGAAGCATGTCCTGGCCTTGGCCTTAGAAAATCTGAGTCTAGGCCCCGCACAGTGGCCTAGTGGCTCAAGTCCTCAGCTTGCATGTGCCACAGTCCCATACAGATGCCAGTTTGTGTACTGGCTACTCCACTTCCCATGCAGCTCCCTGCTTGTGGCCTGGGAAGACAGTTGAGGACAGCCCCAAAGCCTTGGGACCCTGCACCTGCGTGGGAGACCCGGAAGAGGCTCCTGGCTCCTGGTTTCAGATCAGCTCAGCTCTGACTATTGTGGCCGCTTGGGGAGTGAGCCAGCAGATGAAACATATTTTTATCTCTCCTTCTCTCTGTAAATCTGGCTTGCCAAGAAGAATAAATAAATCTTAAAAACAAACAAACAAACAAAAAACAACCTGAGTCCGGGGCTAGCATTGTGGTACAGGGGGTTAAGCCACTGCTTGCAAAACAAAACAAAACAAAATGCATCATGAGCCTGTGAGAAACATGGCTGCTTAGCTTCCAGTCCAGCTTCCTGCTTTTTTTCCCCAGGAATGCAACAGAGACCCAAGTACATGGGTCCCTGCCATCCACCTGGCAGACCTGGGAGGAGTTTTTGACTACTGGCTTCGACCTTGCCTAGCCCTAGCTGTTACGTCATGTGAGGAGTGAACCAGCAGATCAAAGATCTCTGTGTCTCTGTTTCTATTGCTCTGCCTTTCAAATAAATAACTAATAAATAAATTAATAAGACACCGAGACTTGGGGCCAGCACTGTGTCTAACATGTTAGTCCTCCACCTTCAAGCACTGGGATCCCAAATAGACATTAGTTTGTGTTCCTGCTGCTCCACTTCCCATCCAGCTCCCTGCTTATGGCCTGGGAAAGCAGTTGAGGATGGCCCAAACCCTTGGGATTCTTTATACTCAAATGGGAGACCCAGAAGAGGCTCCTGGCTTCAGATCAGCTCAGCTCCAGCCATCATAGTCACTTGAGAAGTGGACTAGCAGTTGGAAAATGTTTCTCTCTGCCTATCCTTTGCAATGTAAATCTGAGTTTCCAATTAAAAAAAAATCTTCAAAAGAAAGAAAGAAAAGAGGGGCCCAGTACAATAGCCTACTAGTTAAATCCTTGCCTTGAATGTACCAGGATCCCATGTGGGCACCAGTTCGTATTGTGGCTACTCCACTTCCCATCCAGCTTGCTACTTATGGCCTGGGAAAGTAGTGGAGGACAGCCCAAAGCTCTGTGACCCTGCACCTGTGTGGGAGACCCGCAAGAAGCTCCTGGCTCCTGGCTTCAGAATGGCTATGCTCCGGCTATTGTGGCCATTTGGGGAATGAGCCAGCAGACAAGATCTTTTCCTCTGCCTCTATGTAAAAAATCTGACTTTCCAATAAAAATAAATCTAGAAAAAAAAAGAAAGAAAAATAAAGAAGGAAAAAGAAAAGAACCTGAAACTATGGTATCTTGACTCCAGAAAAGCAAACCCTTATCCTGGCTTCTGCATGTGAAGGGGTGGGGACAGCCTGCTCTGTTCTCCTCTCTTAGCCCTCAAAGCCCTCATTGCAGAGGCCTGACTTGCCTCAAAGGGTCCCCATCTGAGGTCCCAGTGTTAATGTGGAGCATCATGTTAGTGTCTGTCAGGGCAGGAAGGAGTTTCTGACACCCTGGACCAAGGGTGAAGAAAGTGGGTGCCACTGCAGGTAAGAGCTTGGGAGCTTTGATCCCCAACAAACTGGTCACTTACACTTCCTCAGGTTTGCTTATTGGTGTTTCTGAGTTTGCCTTTTCTGTGTTCTCTCTCCACATGGCTGCAACAGCCAGGGCTGAGCTGCTTTGAAGTCAGAAGTTAGGAGCCAGGCGCTGCATCTGGGTATTCTCCATGGGTGGCAGGGACCAACATACTTTGGGGCCATCTTCCCCTGCTTCCGCCAGCGCGTTACTGGGGAACTGGATCAGAAGTGGGGCAGCTAGGACTTCAGTCAATGTTGCATGAGATACCAGCATGGCAGGCCACAGCTTAATTTGCTGCATCACAGTTTTTCCTCAGGGTTGGTAAAAGGATTAAATGAGAATGGTTGCAGACGGCATTGGAGTGTCATCTATGTTGAGGGTAGATATGCTCTGTGACCACCAGGGGGCAGCAGGACTCTTCCAGTCAGCAGAGGGGTGGCTGGGTGGCACCTTTGCTGTCCAGCTGAAGGCAGAAGGGCCAGGTAGGAGTGAGGGAGTGGTGGGGCCTGCAGGACTGCGGCATACTCAGTTCAAAAAGCTGCAGCTTCTTGTTCTAACCAGCAGGGGCCACCTCAGACAGTGGGCCCACTGCCCCCTGCTTCTTCACAGACTAATGCATTGTCCCAGCGCCCAGGCTGCAGGATGCACACCCTCTGTTTATGTGGTTTGCAGCCTTCTCAGGGTACTCAACCTTTGCTTTGCAAGCTCTAGTGTTGGTCTGCAGGTTGTATGTCAGTGATTCTGTCCTTTTCTGAGTCTGCTGTGGCTCTGGCCCCTGTGCACTGGTCCCCTCCATGACCGTTTACCTGAATGTAACAAAAACAGCCAGGAAGACCTGCTGTGGATGAAAAGGTCCCTCAGTGTGCTCATTGTGGGAGAGACGCCAGAGAGCTGCTTATGTTACTGGGTTTTTAAGATCATGGCGTCTTCAGTGAGGAGGTTGTGTGGCCCCTTCATAACTGACTGTCCTGTGTGAGGGATCCTCTCTGAAGTGTCTGTGATGCCATCACACAGCCTCCCCCACCCATCGCTTCCTCAGATGTTAATTTCCCTTCCTAGGTCTCTGAGAAGCTTCATTTCCTTCTATGTTACTGTCACTGCTACTGTTGTCTTGGAAGTTTTATTAACCATTGGCTCTACTTCCTGACTTACCTGTGAGGACACCCACAGGACTCGTCCCTTCTCACAAGGTTTTCATGAGCCACTCATGAGACACTGATACAGATCACTTAGCCTAAGATCTGCTCCATTAGTACTCAGTGAATACAGTCATCATCATTGTTTTTTTAGATGTATTTATTTTACTTGAAAGAATTACAGGGAGAGAGAAGGAGAGGTGGAGATCTTCCATCCACTAGTTCATTCCTTATGTTGCTGCAACAGCCAGGGCTGAGCTGGCCTGAAACCAGAAGCCAGGAGCTTCATCCAGGTATCCCACATGGTTGGCAGGGCCCCAAGCACTTGGGCCGTCTTCTGCTTTCCCAGGCATGTTAGCAGGGAGCTGGATGGGAAGGACAGCAGCTAGGACTCGAGGCAGCACCTGTGTGGGATGCTGGTATTGCGTACCATGGTTTAACCCCCCGTACCACAGCACCAGCCTCCAAACACAGTCATTATTATGGGTACTTTAGAAGAGACATAGGAAACCTGGAGTGCATTTTGCAAGGTCTGTCTGCCTCTGTATGTGGGACTGTAACAAGCCTGGCCACTCCCCTGTGTAGGAGCCCCCAGGTCTTGAGTCTTGAGGACTTGCCTGGAGTTGGACACAGCTCTTTGCTTTCAGGCTTGCTGCTGTCCAATGCATTCCTTGGCTTGCCTTTGGCTCCCCTTGCTGGTATTGCCAGACTAAAGCAGTGCTCGTCGGCACAAGCTGGCCTGTCTCTGGCTGGTGAACTTGTTGACAAGGCCAAGGTGGGGAGGAAATCAGGTCATAATCCAGTCAACAGGGTGCTGCTGGAGCCCTTCCCCTGCACACAGGCCCAGGGCTCTTGGCTGAGTCACCAGGAATCCTTGGTGATCCTCACTGGGTGTAGGCTCCCATCAAAGAGAGAGGAGGGCTGAGACTGTTGGCCCACAAGAGACAACACAGGACGTCCAAGGGCCATGGTGTCAGAGCAAAGGCTAGAAGCTGTGGTCTGCAGGACTGGGGAGAGGAACATGGTTTTTCAGCCACTGTGCCTCAGCAACCTCAGTGTGTGGCTGCAACTTGGGAAGGCAGTATTCCCCAGACAGAGGAGATGGGGAGTGGGGTAAGGATTCTGGACAGTGAAGAGGCTGTCTGTCTTTTCAAAATTGTTATTCATGAGAGACAGAGAGAGAGATTCCATCCAGGCTTTGCTCCCCAAGTATTTACCTGCAGTGGATCCAGGCCTCCTGCATAAATGTTTAGAAGCCAATCAGTTGAGCCACAACCACAGCCTCCTAGTGTCTGAGCAGAAGTTGGAGTCAGGAGCAGAGCCAAGAATTTAGCCTAGACATACAGGTAGAGCATGCAGGTGTCAATCACTGGGCCAGATGGCCACCCCCAGGTGACTTGTCTTGAGTGAGGGTCTCCAGGCACCCAGGCCTGCAGCAGAGCCTGTGAGGCAGACTTGAGCAGCATTAGTGGCCCGCTTCTGTAGTCTGCTCCGGGCTGCCTGAGAGTCCTGTAAGGGAACTTCGGGTCTGGCACCTAGGGAGCCCTCAAGAGCTGCAAGCTAAAACAAATCAGACACAAACCTGTCCTTCAACCAGCTGGAGGGCCTCACTCTGAAAGCATTTCACAGAACAAGCAGTTGGGATTGAGCCCCCAGCCTTTCCCCTGGGGCAGAGCCAGTGGCCAGGGCTGGAAGAGGGTCAGGTCGGGTGAAGCAGTGGAGAGGTTGGAGGGCTCAGAGATCCCTAGCTGCACTCCCCAAGGGCATGGTGGGGAGGCAGCAGGTGTCTGCCCAATGGGCACTTGGGGACAGGCTGCTTGTAGTGCCCAGTCAGAACAGAGGTTGAACTGGGTCACAAAGTGAGCAGCAGGATTCTTTTCTTTGGATTGGGGTTCAAGTGCAAGGCTCTAGAGACCCAGACCTATTACAGATACAGGGGTCATAGCAAGACGCACCACTGAGAATAGGGCACAAGGTTAGGATCCTGGGAAGAGCACAGGGGCTTCCGACCAGCCACTGGGGCTTTTTGGACCCCTCGCACGGGAGCACAGGTCCTGGAGAGCAAGGACCAGGGGCCAGACTTGGGGGTGAAGAGATGGACAGGAGCCCAGGCTTCCTGTGCAATACAGCTGAGGTCAAATCCTAGCCCACACTCCCAAGCTGTATGGGTTACATAATCTCTCTCAAAGTTCCCTTTGCTCTTTGTGGGAGACCAGGAAGCAGCCCCCATCTCTGAGAGTGATTGGGATGTCTAAGTGGGATCTGGAGCAATGACCCCCGATCTGGTCCAGGTAGTACTTAATAAGTCATTGATTTCCAGGTGACACAGGGCAACCCTGATCCCTCCTGTACCCTCCCAGGACCCCTCTGGAGCAGTGCGGACAGCAGCCACACACTCCGGGTTTCTCTCCCCTGGGCTGCTGTTGGCTGTGCTGTCAGCCTCTCCCCTAATGCCCGTGGCCCCAACCCTTTACCTCCTGTTGCTCTGAAAACATACCCCATGGGTGCGTGAGTTCTTCCAGAGCTGAAAACAGGTGCAGGTCACAGAGGCAGGTCACCCCCTTGGGACTGGGACAGCAGCCATGTCCTCAGATACCCTTGGCCCAGGAGACAGGACCATCTTGACCAACTTAGGCCTCTGCAGCCTTTCTCAAAGCTGTCCTTGTGAACACCCTTGTCCCAGGGCAGACATTCATACATTTGTGAAATTTCTCTTCACATTCTAAGTACTTGTGTTTCATGTTGTTTTTGCTTTTCCACCCCTTCTGCCTCCAAAACCATGGTGCACACACATCGCATAAAACTGCCCAAAGCCCCATCCCATGCCTTCCCCTGCATACCCTCCCCCACTTCTCTGAGTCCAAAGTGTGTGCCCTTTGTGGGAGCTGCGTGACCCATTCCCGCATTTAGAACTCTCTGACCCAGCTGCCCTGCTTTTGTCTGTGTTGTGGAGCTGCCATGTGTTTTTCTTGGTACCCAGCAATAGGCATAAAATGTGTTGTTTGTAGCGGTATCAAATTTGAATCATCTTACTTCCCTCCCCGCCCAAAGTCTGACACTCTGCTCAGCCCCCTGTGTCATGCATGGGTCAGCAGACGCCCAGTCTGCAGCTGTGACCCTGACGCAGGACTGCTGCTGGTGCCGGAAGCTGAAACACACACACACACACACACACACACACACACACACACACACACACACACACGCGCGCGCGCACGCGCACACACACACATACACACACACACACACACCCGAGCTCTTCGTCCTCTAGGTGCTTCACATTCACTGCTGCATCAGCCTGCTTCTCCACACCCACCTGGCTGTATCACTCTCCCTTGGCCACACCTGGCTTTTCTCCATCGAGGTCACTGCTGACTCAGGGTCTTGATGTTGGCCATTCTCTGCCCTGGGATGCTCTTCCCACAGATCTGCCTGCGGGTGACTTCCTTGTGGTGTGTGGAACCTGGCATTAGCATCAGTTTCTCATGACATCACTCCATCTGGGTACTCCCCCAGTGCCGCCTCATCACTCCTATTGCTAAGCTAGACCCAACACTTGTGCCCATGTCTCTCTGTTTGCAAAATAATGGTTCATTCTTCAATTTCCAAGTTACATGAATTGATATGTTTGTGACTGCCTGTTCACTTATGAGGAAGCAAGCACAGGTGGAGGCATTTAGCCTAGCAGTTAAGAGTTCCACAGTTGTGGGGCTCAGCATGGTAGCTTAGGCTAAAGTCCTTACCTTGCACGCGCTGGTGTCCCACACTGGCGCTGGTTCTAATCCTGGCAGCCTTGCTTCTCATGCAGTTCCTCACCTGTGGCCTAGGAAAGCAGTTGAGGACAGCCCAAAGCTTTGGGACTCTGCAAGCGTGAGGGAGACCAAGAAGAAGCTCCTGGCTCCTGGCTTTGGATTGGCTCAGGTCCACCTGTTGTGGCCATTTGGGGAGTGAATCATCGGACAGAAGATCTTCCTCTCTCTCTCCTTCTCTCTGTGTATCTGACTTTGCAATAAAACACATACACACACACACACAAGAAACCCTGTAAAGATAGAAACTTTATCCATCTTATCTAATACTAGAGTAATTTTTCATATACTGATTTGAAAAACTTGTTTTTTATATGAAATTGAATGAGGCGGCCTGTATTTATTCTGGCAGCCCTACTTGAGGCCAGTGGTTCTGCATCTTGGGAACAGAGAATGAAGCTGGGAGAGAAGAGAGAAAGTGACATGGCTAGTGGACACAAGGAGAGCAACATGGAGAGAGAGGGACAGAGTGAATGTGACACGCAGAGAGGGCTGAGTGAGCATCAGAGAAGACAGAGAGACCCAACCAGAAAGGCAGTGAGAGTGTGAAGCACAGGGAATGAGAGAAACCAAGCAAGTCAAAGAGAAAGAGCTACAAGTAGAGCAACAGTTGTCCTCTGGCTGTGCTCTGCCTCCAGTAGTTCAGTGGCCCAGGGCTCTCTCCACCCAGGTCTTATCTCTCAGTTGTTTATGGGCACCAATAAATTGTCCTTTCACTTCAAATTGAAAGCCAGCTTTGCTTGGGCCTTGGTGTGTGCCAGGCAGCGGGCCAAGCGCCTAGGGGGCCCTGCCTCACTTGTGCCTGTTTGCTACTGGGATTCAACGACATGGCCAAGGTCACAGAAACGCTGAGCCGCAGAACTGGGGCCAGATCCCTCCAGAGCAGTTTGGCTGCCAGCTCGCTGGCACTGGGTGCAGGAGAGTAGAGAAGGTACGGCGATGCTGAGCCCAGATCCTCTGCGGGGATAATGTCCCTTTGGGCCTGGATGTGCAGGGCCAACTGCAACTTCCCCTTCCCTGCAGCCTGACTTGGGGAAACCTCCTTTTCCTTCTCTGAACCTTTGCTTCCTCTTTGGTCTGGTGCAGCCAATAACACAGCAAGTCATGCCCGAGTTGATCTCTCTTTCTCTTTGTCTTTCTCCTTCTCTCTGTCTCACACACACACACACACACACACACCACTTAAAATATTGGCAGATATTTTCCTTGCTTTCTGTTCTTCTCTGACTCCCAGCATGGAATCTGGCACAAAACCATGGCTCAGCTTACCTTGGTGGGTGCTCGTGAGACTGAAGCGTGTGAATGAGAATTCCAGTGAGTGCATATTTAACACCTACTGTGTAGCAGGCTTGTTGCTAAGCACCTTATACAGCTCTTAATCTTCCCAGCAGCCCTGTCAGGTAAGAATTGTGAGCCCCATTTTTTTTTGTCTCCTTTTGTTTTTCCACTGGTTTTTAAAAAATTTTTTATTATATTTTTGACAATCTTTACATAGTTAATTAGGGTAAAAGGTTCAAGGGCTATAGGAAAGTGGGTAAGACTATTATTTCCATATTGTTTTCCTTCATGTTTAAAGGGGGGTATTAATGGAGAAGGCCCACCCAATTTCCCACCCTCCCCAGGTCCCGGATGTAGGGTATGCTCCGAGGTTCTTGCTCAAATGGTTTTGATAGTTCAACCGTTATGAATCGCTGCCAATCTTGTCACTCCAAGCACTATGAGGTCTTTGAAGAATCCACTGATTGACATAGACCATCATAGAGTCTCTTTTTGCCCTGTATTTTGCTGCCAACATGTAGCTGAGGTGGTTGATTGACCTGTTCTGTCTTCTCTCTCTTCTTGGTTAAGGTTCTGAGTCCAGCATTTCAACTGGGGAGATCTCCAAAGAAACTTTGCCTGAGGTATTCTCAGACCAAATTCTTGAATGTACTAGCAAGTACAGGGCCTGGCACAGTCCATCACGTTGATCAGCTGGTGGTTGCGATTGTTGGGTTGGTTCTGTTTTCAGCCCCGACTTCCACTGGAACCAATGGGTGTTGCATTCCAGCCCCTGGTTCTGCCCAGCACGTACTTGGCCCTCGCATAAACCAGTGGGAGCTGCAGCCTAGTTGGAGCGCCCCACAATAACCCTCACTAGGCCCGCCCCCTACCCTGGTTTGCCAGAATGTGTAGCAGTACTCCAGTCTGTCCCACACCCCATTCCACCCCAGCTGCTGTCCTGGTTTTTGTGCCCTCTCGTGAAAGTGGTAACCCAAGAGGGAGGAACCTACTATTTCCCTCCCAGGCCTCTCCCACTCCCAGATTGTGTGAGTCCCATTTTTATAGAGGACAAGATTGGGGCTTCAGCAACTCATGTGACCAGGAAGGCCACAGAGATAGGTTTGTGACTGCTGATCTAAAGAAGCCGGGAAGCAACTGGGTTGCTTTACGTTGCCCCCTCCCCTGCCCTGTGTCTTATCATCCTGCTCACACCGTTCTAGGGCCCTAAGTGCACTTCCCCACCAGATGGGTGCTCTGAGCCCAGTCCCAGGCAGGAGCACCAAGGCCCAGAGCTGGCCACGTGGGAATTAAGAATAGAGAAGGTTTTTAAGCCTGGTTTGTTTGAGTAGAGTCTGTGTCCATGGCTCTCAAATGTCTAACCTCCAGGGAGCCCCCTCAGAGCATGATGACACCCCCAGGCCTCTCACAGAGCACCCCCTTATCACACCCACTGCCGATGAATGCCCCCACTGAGGTTTTGTGAGCACTTACATGTGACCCAGTAAGAGCCTCTGGAGACCTCTTGTGCCTTTCCTATTTTCTGCACAGACCTCACCTCACCCTGCCTCTCATCCCAGGGCTTCTGACCTTGGCTTTGTGTTCTAATCCTTCCTCCTTCAACACTGCACTCCAGCTGAGCTGACTCTTATCTGATCCTCTGGGGCCCCTGCTCTTCCCTACCCAGCCTCCCCTGCTAAGCTCTCTTCTCAGCATCAGGAATGCAGCTCTGCCTCCAGGAAGCCTGCTGTGATGCACCTCTGCTAGGCTGCTTTTGCCTCTGTGTTGAAGTTGCCTTTTTGCTGGATGATCTCCCCTCTGTCTACTTCATGGGCTAGGGCCATGCCATGTCTGCCTGCTAACTTGGCATCCCAGAGCCTAGCACTGTGTGTAGTAGGTGGTAGGTGCTCGGTGAAAAGCTACTGAGTAAATGCCTGAAGGAGGAGGCTCCATTAGGATACTCATTTTAACTTAGCACCCAACCGAGTTTGCTGGCCCATAATAGGCTTCTGCACGTGTCCACTGAACAGATGATGGGAGAACGAATGAGTGAATGAATGAGCACATAGCAAGCCCCACCCTTGGTTGTCGGCTCACCTCTGAGCTCTGCATGCCGCTCTGGGCTGCAGCAATCTCTCGCTTCTTGTTTGGATGCTGTGGGTTCTGAGCAGAAAGCAGCGTTGCTGCCTCCTCAACAAGCATTTCAGAGCCGCCTTTTCTGCTGGGGAGAGAAGGAGGGAGGAGGCAGGAGAGCCTGAGCCCAGTTTCAGGATGGCCTCAATTGGCCCTGAACCAAACTAACAAAGTGTGAAATTGACTTCATTCTCCAGCACCTCTCCCCAGCCGCCATGGCCTCATAGCCTCTCCCACTACTGCAATGGATGCGGCCTGGCCGCCATCCCCTCCGTCACCGTCACCGTCACTGGCAGACGGAGCGTCAGCAACGCCCACGCAGCTCTGCAGAGCCCATTTGGCCTCAGGCCAGCATAGGCTTTCCAAGCCAGAGCATCCCGAAGTGGGGCTCTCCTGATGCACCTGCACCTGCTGAGCCAGCCAGCCCCTCCCCCTCTGCTTTTGAGATGGGAGCGAGGGCGGGAGGAGGGAACAGCACCAGGTAGTGCTGAGCTCTCACCACTGCCCACTGCACCAAATGCAAGACCGCTGAGCCAAAACCAGAGGAACCTAGGGAAGCAGTGAGATCCCAGGGACTCACGGGGAGAAGGGTGAGGGGTGGGCAGGGACTCAGGTGCCTTAGGGGTTACTTGGGGGTTGGTGAGAGGTCTCAAAGCCCTCTTTCCACCAGCACAGGGTCATTTGGGTGTCTGGTTTTTGTTTTGATTTTTTTTGTTTGTTTGTTTTCATTTCTGTTTGAAAATTTCCTAGGAGGAAAGGGAATGTCTGGCTCCCATGAGCCCTAAACCAGCCATCTTCCCAGCAGTTGACCCCATCCTTGCTTGTAAATCAGAATGCACCAGACAGCTTGGTGAGAAGTACATATTCTGTACTCCGGAGTGCCTTGCTGCTCAGCACCCACTATGCTTCCACTGAGCAGAGTACCCCCCCCCATCTTCCTCCAGAGAGCCAGCCAGGCCTCCATGGCCCCCAGCTGGTATGAATGGAGGCCCCATGCAATCCCCTGGAACTTCAGGGGGCAGATTTATCCCAAGCCCAGCCAGTTGCAGGCTGAGGGGTCAGTGCAGGGGCAGGAGCCAGCTGGAGTGGCACCCCCAGGGATTTGTGAGGACTCTGAAAGAGGGGTTGCTCTGAGATCCTGGACTGCTAGCTGTTGGCTAAGAATAAAGCCAACATAGAGGCAGGTCTCAATGTGTATGTCTGTGCAGGAGGGAATAGGCATGGCTGGTGATAGGTTATAAGTTCCTGGATCCAGCCATGCCTGAAGTCTATATGGGCTATTCAGGTACATGAATCAACCTATTCCTTTTTCTTTTTATTTTATCATTTTTTAAAATGTCTTTGCTTCAGCCAGTTTAGAAGCAGAATCCATATCAGATCTATTGAAGCACCATCTCCACAGGCAGAATTTCTCGGAAAAATTTTTAAGGAGATTTATTTGAAAGGCCAAGTGACAGGGAGAAACACACACACAGATCTTCTATCCACTGATTCACTCGCTAAATGACATCAGCAGCCAAGGTGGGGCTAAGCCAAAGCCAGTAACCTAGAACTCCATTCAGGTCTCCTGCATGTGTGGCAGAGGCCCAAGTACTCAGACCATCTTCTGCTGCTTTCCCAGATGCATTAGTAGAGAGCTGGATCAGAAGCAGAACAGCTGGACTCGAACCCAGATACTTGGATTAGGACTGTGAACATCTTAATTGCTGGGCCAGATGCTCACCTCATGCCCAGCTCTCCTGTGGCCTCCTTTCCCAGAATGTACACCTTTGGCCTATTCCATTGCTGTGTGCAAAGCCTTTTGCCCAAGGCCCGATTTAGAGACCAAAAACTCCTGCTTTGTTCCGTGAAAGGCAAGTCCTAGGCCTCATGTTTGAATTCCTTAGGGATAAAAATTCTATTTCCACCAGCTATCAGAAATGAGCCTGGGGATTTCAATCACCCCTAGGGAAAAGCTTCTCTGAGAATGAAAGCTAACACAAGGCAAAGAGATAGAGAAACCCTAAACTACGGGACACAGCCGGGCCTAATGCCAGAAAATCTTGTTCATGTCACACACATAATCAGGAAACTTCCCTTTTATAGTGGAGTCAGGCTATATTAGCACTCTGCCTGTTGTGACTCAAAGCAACCAACATAATAAGTGCTATTTGGACTATCCAACGAAGGCTTGAGATGTATGCCAGTGGGGTACTGTAAAGGGAGTGGCTGTGGGAGAGCAGAATTGGACTCCCAGGGTTCTATCAAGAGCAAATGCCCCAACTATACCAGATGATGAGCTGGAAAGTATTGCCTAAGTGCAATACTTGGATGCTTGGTCACGATTGAAGAATCAAAACAAATAAACAAGCAAGCAAAAACAAAACCTATAAATGAGAGCTAATTCCTTGTCTGCTCTTTGATCACCGCTGTCTTCCAAGAGGACAAGACTTTTAACTCTCAGAGTCTTAGAAAGATTGCAATGTCAGGTTACAAATGGTTCTGCAAAGGTGGGAGAGAAGTTGGAAGATCTCCAGTGATCAGAAGAGAGACCTGACTTATTAGCAGCATATACAAAAACCATGTAAATATAAAGCATAATGCTTAGCTGGAGTGAATGCACTGTCAGGCTGCATTAACAGAAATAGGTCTTGTAGAAAGAGGGAGGAGACATCTTGGCCTTTACTCTGCTCAGCTCACGTGGCATTCGGGGCAGGTAAGAGGCATGTGGATACAGCTGGAGATGTCTCCGGACCTTCCCATCAGTCCCCCACTCCCATCATCTCTTGCCCCGAGAGCAGCAGATGGACTGGCATTGGCTCCTGGCTTGCACATGTTCTCAGGTAGAACTCACCCAACTCTTCCTTGGCCAAAGTGTGCCCAGAGGATGTGCCCTGCTGCAGGGAAAGAATTCTACTTTATCAGCAGCCGGAAAAACCTTAATCTGCTCCCTAGGGGTGAAAGTGAGCCTATCTGGCGACTCCTGGAATCACCCAGCCTTGGGATATAAT